TTGCATCGTCTCATTGTCCTTCCGGCCTGATGCAGTTTTCTCTTTTGGCCCCCCCTTGCTGCGGTTGGGTGGGGCCCTTTTTGCCCCGTAGGGACCTAATCTTGGCTCCTCCTTGTCCGGTAAGTCCCTCACCTGTTTTGATCATTTGGGTTCTTCATTTCCAGTGGCGTATCTGTCCATAGACGTGACAGGTGCACTGGTGCCCTACCCTCCCAAGTGTTTGGTGTTCGGGCTTAGTTTTCTCTGTACTTGCGTGTCTGTCCGTAGACGTGACAGGTGCACTCGTACTCCTCCAATTCATTTCTTTGTTTCTTTCCTTCTTGTTTTGTGCACGCCCCTTTTCCTTGTTTTCTTTTCGGTTTGCTTCTTGCCTCACTTTGGTCAAGCGCATTATGCTCTGCACAAATATTGTCTGTGCTGCCCTCTGTCTCGTTGGTGGTCTTGTGGTTCCTTGCATGAGTTGCCCTCCGGGGCTCGTGGGATTGTGGTGCTTTTGTGCTCCTGTTGGTGCGCCTCGTTGTCTTCCTGGTTTTGTTGCGCTCCTCGCTGTGCTTGAGTGGGCCCTGTTGCTTCCTTTGTTGTCTGCCCTCCTGTGTGGTGGTTCCTTTCTCTGTCCTCTTTGCCTTCCCTCCCCCGCGGGTTGTCTCGTTTGGTGCTCTGGTCCAGCTTGTACCTTGGCGTGCTGGTACCTCCCTCTGGGTATCTGGTTGCAGCTGTGACGGCTTAGTTGCCCTGCCTTCATGCTGGGAGTGTGGGTGAGCTTTGCTATCCTTCCGTCATTCGGTTCATGGCAACAAAGGCTACTGGCCCTGTGTGGGGTCTTCACCCTCTACACCATGTCACTGGTGACGTCAGGGAGCTTAGTTTGGCCATACTGAGGTATTCATCATGATGATGATCCAGTTCCCATATTGGACTCCGCTAAGCTGCACTATTGCTATTCTAATGTGATTGGTGCAGCCTTCTCCGCCCCTGTCCTCCTCTGCCTCCCCGGCACCCCTCTCCTGTCTGGTTGCCGCTTGGTCTGGTTGTCCGGTTGTGCTATTGCTGGGTCTCCTTTTTGCCTGTTTGCGTCTCTGGTGGACCTTGCGTGCATTCCTCCGCTTATTTACTCTCCCCTTCTCTCACTCAGGAACGAATGAATGGAGCTTAGTTTGAATTACGAACATCGGTGATCTGGTTGATTTTTGTCTGGTTATTTTTTGTACTGACTGGAGAGACACTGACACAGCATTCTTGTGACCCACTAAGGTGACTAAGGTGACTCTGACACAGCCGTATTGCCTGGTGCCCGTAAAGGCCGTCTCTTTGCTCTGCCTTTCTTGCTGGCTTGACTGTTTTCTTGTTAAGGGGCTGCCTTCTCTACTTGACTTTAATTCGTTTGTTTTCTCTGGGTTTCCTTGGTATGTCCTCTGTCTGGGTACTCTACATGGGTAGCTGAATCCAACCAAGAGGGGCGGTAGTTAGCCGGCCGATGCCATGGACCAGACTGTGCTGCAGTGAGCTTCACCGGTGCATTCCGGTGCTCCTCCCTGTAGGACAGCCTGGGGCGCCTGCGAGCAGCACAAGACTGCCAGCATGGTTCGTCAATTGATTGAAAGATGTGGTAATTCTGCAGCCTGTCTACTCTATGGGTGAGTGGCACTACAGCCGTAGTTTCGCTACGATCTTCGCCAATGCGTACTGCAATGCACTGCAGGTCCTTCAGGGACGATGACATCCTGAAATGTCCTGAACAGTTCTGTAGTTTGTATTCCTTACGAACCTGCTCTTAGAACGCTACACTGCCTACGACAGCACATGTATGGTGGCACTAGCGAAGACAATCTTACAGATACAAAGGTTTTCTGCATGTTGCTCAGCTTTGCGAATACTGCCAAGAAAGTCGCTGGCTGAGACCAATCCAATGGATGGCTGCATTTTCCCCTATGAAACTAGGGGCGTGCCCCCTTTTTTTGGTTGGCGATGGCATGTTTGGAAGCTTGTCCCTGGCCTACGATGCTTCCCTTCTGCCATCTCTGTCCCCCCCCTTTAAAGGGGGGTTCTGATTTCTCAACATCACGGCTTCGTGATCGCGGCTGACAGATAAGATGATGACTACTATGTCCATGAAGGCCCGTTGACGAGTTGATCTGAGAGGACTCTGAGAGAGGTTTTATCGTAGCCCTGCTTTCGTGTACAGCTTGGCTCATGCTAGGGTTAACTCCCAAGCTAAGGCCTTCATGTCTGCCTGGACAGCCGTGATCCCTAATTCATGTGGCATGTTTTTGATAGTGATGCAGTGGATAAGCCACTGCGTCCAATGGCAAATCGATTCGGTGGGTGTTTTTGTTTGGGCTCTGGCCCCGTTTTGTGGGTTTTGTTTTGTTTCTGCTGTTTGCTTCGCTGTTTCCGCTGGCGAAACGCAAGTCTGGCTGGGGGATTTGCGGGTCGTCGTTTGTGGTTTGGTTGTGGTTTTTGTTTTTGTTGCTTCAATCGATTTGCCGACTTCAAGGACCTTTTGTCCTTGCAATTTGTATTTCCTGCTTACTCTCATGTAAGGACCGAGCCTTTAGCGCGACATCGGCCACACTCGAGGAAAAAAAAAAGGGAGGCTTTGGTGTCGGCTGTTGAGGATACCACCGAAGCTTATTTGGTAGAAAAGATATGAACATGTACGGACCCCACAATCCCAACATAGTATTTTTACGATGTTTTTTCACGGAGCAAGTGTTTTGTTTGGGTAGACAACCTGAGACTTAATTTTGAACCCCAACGTTGCTCCACCGATTGGTTGAACATGAATAAAGAAAACAATGTGTCAGCCAGGCTTTATTTGGGCATCAAATGGACTCATCAAACTGTGAAACATGATCCAGAGCAGACATCCAAATCATTTGGCATTTGGCAACAAAAAGGATGCACAATATAACATTCCTTCCGGTCAATTGCCAGCCGAAGACAAGCGAATGGGTTGGGTTTGTTCAGTGAAAAACCAGATGTCGCATGCATGTTAACCATACCTGTCTGCAAACATTTATAGAATTAATGTGTCACATTAATCAAAATTGGTATTAGTGATACATGTAAATGATTTGTAAAAGTGATATTTGCACTTTGGACTTTGTTTGGCGCTATAACTTCCTGTGCATTGCAAATGATTTGACGGGTCACAGAAACAACACCATTTAGCAGTTTAGCATGGGTCAGGCCGTGGGCTACGGTTGGCTATGGTCCAGCCGAGGTGTTGCCTCAAACTTTGTTGGAAACACAACCATTGAGAGCATTGGGTCATTTGAAGTCATGTGTGCCAGTCTTTTGCATCGACTTTTATTCATTATGCATTCCTTTCCGTTGATGCTGTCAGGCCATTCGACCTACAACGTGACTGAGTAAGTCTGGACATCTCAGAGGTATCAAACTGACTGTGCAAAAATTGGATTTTGATTTTAACATTTTTCAAGATGCTGTCAGCGATTTACCAAACAACTGGTTCGTCTCAAGCACGTGCCCTACATTCTAAAGACTTCACAATTTGTCGAATTGAGGAAACTGGACCTCCAGTCACCTGCAGTGCTCGATCTAGAAATGACACAGGCAGGACATATCTCATTCTATTATGTCAGCAACAATCCCACGCGAAAGGTGCAAAACATGTGCTCTTGCCATAGTCTCTGCTGATATCCCCTCAGAGGTCTAAGCAATCGGAGTTCAAGTGGCCAGCTCAGTTGAACCCAGGCTTCAGAAAGACAAAAAATGGGTGGATTGCTTGTAGCTCCTTTGGCATTTGTCGTTAGTGGAGAAATGAACGATACCGCGTATCCAAAGACAGTGTTTTATTCTGGTCGCTTCGCGAGGACAACCGCCCCCACCGGAAGTGTTTGCTTTGGTGTGGGGATGGGGATTGCTGCGGCGTAGTTTGGCAAGTGGCCGAATGCAGTATAGTTTTCGCATATTTTGCTGTTTGTTTTGTTTTTTCTTTTCTGGTTAATATTGCATTGAACGTGTATAGTAGAGCCCTATGGCGAGCAAACGGCCCATGGTGAGCGAAAATTGCCCGTGTTTGGGCTACATTGAGCCGATGTTGGACCATTTGCACCCATGTTGAGCCAATTTTGTGACCTTTTCAAAAACGTTGAAACACCTACGATTCTAAGCAAAAAAAATCCCCGAAACTAAAACTTAATAGATATTGCAATTGCTTCCTGTTGATGTGTGCACACAAAAAACGCCGTGGCACTTTTGGTGCGGGCAGATTTGAACTCCACCTGTCTTTTTGATGTCCTCATTCTGCAATCGCATCACTTAGAATCTGCAAACACTCTCCTGCCCGGAGTGGAAGCACCTGGTAGGATGGTCTCCTGGTAGGATGGTCTTTGGCAATTGAAAGTTGCAGCTTTTGGTCCAACATGCTGCCAAGTGGATGAGCGGGCTTAGGTCAGTGTACAGGCGACCGCCTGCCAGCAGAGCGAGGAAATATTTTTGGGTGTTTTTTTAACTTTTTTTTTGGTTCTAGACGTTTGGATCTTTCAGTGACATTTTTGGTGTGTATACTCTCCTTTGCAAGCGTGTTTCCAAGAGATGCCATTGAAGTCTTTTCGGACCCGTGGCGATAGCAAAACCATTCGAACTGTGAATGTGTACAGGTTTTTCTGATTTGGGACACATTCCGGCATGGCATGGGAAAATGAATCGCTGATGAATTCTTTGGAAGTAGCCAAGACACCACTGGAGGAGCGAGCACGCCCCTGCTGGTGCTGGACAACAAGGTGAGCTACAACATGTCAAAGTAGGCACACAACACAAAGTGTAGTGTAATGGATATAGAATGAATGATAGCGATCTTTTCAAAACTGATTTTTGGAAGCACCCAAAAACACCCCACACCAGAGTTTCCAGAGTTTTGCACCGTCCTCTCCCAGCTCATACCAAAACACCATGAAGATCCTTTTGTTTGCAGTCTTGTAGAGTCATTGAAGGACCTATTCCTGTAGATATCTTGAATCTGCCGCAAAGCTGACGTTGGCTCCTTGAGTGACAGTGATACCACATCTCCCACCGACCGTGTGTCACATCCCCGGTAGAACGAACAGATGAAACTCTTCAAAGATGTCTCCCTTGTCGCATGCGTGGCTGAGTTTGTCGGCATGACCTTGTTTGTGATAATCGGTTGTGGCAGTGCGATGGGTATCCAGGGTTCCGGCAGCACAGGTGGCAGTGGCGGCGACGAAGAGAGCACTGCGGGAGAGACGACCTCCATGATTCCTGGTTGGGTTCTCATGGTGGCCTTGGTGTTTGGCCTGTCCATCACGACCTTGGCTTACACCATCGGACACTACAGCGGCGGCCAAATGAATTGCGCTGTGACCCTGGGCCTGGTACTCACGGGCAACTGTGGGCTGATGCAGGGAATTTTCAACTTTGGCTCCCAAATGATGGGCTCTGTTTGCGGCGCCGCCATCCTGTGTGCCATCTTTCCGCCTGAGCTGGACATGACTAAAAGCCTGGGGTCTAACAGTGTGGGTCCGAAGTGGCATTGGTGGAACGCTGTGATTGGCGAGATGATGGGCACCTTCCTGCTGGTCTTCGTGGTTCTCCAAACGGCTTGCAACCCAAAGTCGGCCATGAACCGCAGTCAGGCTTGCATCGCTATCGGCCTCGCCGTCTTCATGGCCCACTGTGTCCTGATTCCCATTGATGGCTGCTCCATCAACCCTACGCGCTCATTTGGTCCAGCTCTCATGTCCCTCACCCGGTTGGAGGCACCCAAGGTTGCCGAACCTACAGCTACGCTGGTGGGTGAGCCATTGGCAGCTACCGTGGGTGCTGCAACGGAGCCAAAAATCCATGATGACGACGATGTGCCCGCCTTCTGGCACAGCAAGTGGGTCTTCTGGGTCGGCCCGCTCTTGGGAGCATGCCTGGCTGCGGCCGTCTACGAGCTCATGCTCAAGCTGGATGCGGCTGCAGAGCCAGCAAAGGAGATGGCCGCTGAGCCGGAGGCGGCAGATGGTCTCCCAAGGATCTTGGGCAACAAGGGAGGCAACAAAAATCTCGGTCAGAAGGAGAGCACCTCGGCGATGTCTTCCGAGGAGAGCACCTCGGCGAAGTCTTCCGAGGTAGTCTAGTGCAGCGTCAGTCGAGCTTAGCACTTGAGCAGGCCAGTACCTATGGTCTGCAGTTTAAAACTTACAGTCTCCTTCTTTTCCCTTTGGCTGGGTCCAATAAGAGGCTCAGGGCTCATGGTTGGAGACAATTTTGGGACACAACGTTTGCCCCTCTGGTAAACGAATTAGGAAACATTCAGCATCTCAGTGCTGGCGACTGCGGATTGCGTCGACCACACCACACAGTGCTGGAGAGTCTTGGAAAACAACGAAATAGCAGCGTCGAGCCATGCCAAGAGGTTCAAGTCATATCAAACAAAATGCCCCCGACCAGTGTCCTTTTTTGTCATGTCTTTTTTTGTTGACAGACACTGCACTTTCTGCTGCACTTTGAATGCCTGCTCACCACTGAATCTGGGTGTTCAATTTCTGACTGAAAGGCCGTTTCTTCGGTTGCTTTGAACTGCAGCCACCAGCTGCGAAGGACACGGTTTGTGGCTCAAATCCAATTGAAAATGTGGAGAACCAGACAAGAATCAAATCCAATGTGTTTGTGTGACATTTCTCAAACTTTCCGACTGAAGCTCAAATAGATTCATTCTGAGTCCTGCTTGTTCCCTCAAGTTTCTTGAAGTAAATCCAACCACCAAAAACCGGTTTTGAATTTGTGTTTCGATGCAAGCTTCCCTGAGACCTACCGCCGTCGGTTGAAGGAGTTTTCATTTGTCAAGCGTTCCCTATCAATGATTCAAATGATGCTAACCAGCCAGAACCAGCCCCTAGTGACCTCAGCTCAGGTCGTTGATATTGGTACCTAAGCTTGTCGCAGGCACAGTGGGAGGGGAGAGGGGTGCAGTGTTGCGATGTGAAGGCTAGGCAAGGCTGTGGAAGGTTGCTGTTCTGAGGGAAGTTTTGACGGGATGCATTGTTATTGTTTGCATTTTGGCCACTACAATAGTTGTTTTTCAAGTAGACATCAATCAATTAATCTATATAGAGAGTTTGTGAGGTTCAGCTGTTTCTAAGTTACCTTGCTGCTGATCAAGGTCATTTTGGTCACCAGGTCCATTGCTTGCGTCAGAGACAGAACGCAAAGATCACCAAACATTTGTTGCTACCGAGGATCTCACCAAGTTCGAAATTCATGGATCTAATTTAGCGAAGACTATTGTAATTATTGATTAATTATTGTATACTTCGAGAACTTCAGACTGTTTGATATTGTTTGATATTGTTTGACTCCTGTTTCTTGGTCTATTTCAGGGGCTAGGTAAAGACTTTGGGTGCGTGGTCGCATTTGGCTTTTCTAATGTGTCAGGTAAAAATCATGGTATTTTAGGTGCATTTTCTTGTGAGGAGTCCGCTCCAACATCGCCGAGTTTTCTCGGTTCAGGGCCTCAGGGTTCAAGCCTTCTTCACAAGCTTCAGTTTAGTTCAACAGTCAGACTCTAAGAGTCACTACTCCTTTCTTTTCATTCTTTTGCATGAATAAATTGAAAAGAAACATTTGTTGCACAATCCTTTTGACCAGTTTCATTGTGAAGGTGTATACAGTGTATGTGAAAGGATGTCATGGCGGCCATGAATTCAAGTTTCCCTCAGATCGTCACAGCGATTTTTGCATCGAGGCATCCACTGGAATTCCACATCGATGATCCGCTCCGAAAGAAGCTGGTGATGCTCATTGGACTGAAGTGTAGCTGGGTAGAAAGTGAATGGGCAAACGTTGAGTGACAAAGATTTGATATGGAGAAATGGTTGAAAGGTTGCGTTCCATGCGGAGAATACAGAGAAGTGTTGCCTCATTGGGTACACTGAATGTCCCTCAATCGCCATGATTGCAAATGTAACAGCGTGCTGAACCAACGGGTCGTGCACCGATGTGCAGAAAGCACTCAACTTCATGGTCAAGAAGCAGATGTTTTGTTCGTCAGCAAACTCAATTTGGCATCCAAAGTCTCATTGTTCAAGCTAGATTAGATTCTTGTCGGAAAAAAAAGTTTTCCACAGTCAGTTTATTCTGGAAGGAACCTGCCTGGCATGGAACATCCTGACTCATTAAAGTCATAGAAATTCATGGAACGTCAAGGAGAGTCACACGACAAATGCCCATCTGTCACTTATGCAACTTGTAACTTATATATTAATATTATATGAATATTATATGAACAGTATATGAATTAGAGTGGCTTCAAAGCTGGATCAGCTGCTAGGTGCCAAGAAGTTCTGCTGCTTGACGGGTTCATCATAGTATGGTCCTAGGGGAAGACCCTCCCCTAGATGATGTGGCTTGTCAGGTGATGCGCGCTGAAAAATTCATGAACGAGGGTGGGAAGTAGGGCTAGCCATCATGCAAGGTTAGCCTAGCCATCGTGAAAGCGGTATGTCACGCACAGTCCTTTCGTCTTGGGCAACTCGCTACACGATTTGCTTGAAGAACAAGTGCTTTTTTTTGCCTTTTAGGAGTTTGTAGCCTTGTTTGGATGGCAGCATGGCTTTTAGGGTTCTCAGGCGTCCTACTGCTTGCAGTAGGCCTAGGCTGTTGTCTCACCAGATGCAGGAAAATGCATCCTTCAAGATAAAGATGGTACCTCTGCAGTGAAAGGGCCTTGCATCACAGCCTCAGTCTTGACAATGGCCCTGCAGTAGATAGGTTCACAAGCAGTCCTGCAGTCATGAAGGTTTACTTTGGGGCACTCCTTGGAGGGCCATCCTCAGTGAGTGTCTTTAGATGTTGTGCACATTTGGATCTGTGGATGTCTCGGGTGTTGTGTTTCTCATGCTCCATGTGGATCGATTGTTCTGCAGCCATTTTCATTCCAAAGTGTCGTCTATGGCAAGTGGAGTTTCCCCGCCATTTCACCATTTAAGACAATTCACACTTATCGTTTGGGGCTGGTGACTCCACTAACAGAATCATTCGAATGTCTTTCCATGCTATGTTTTAGCGTATCAGGCTATCCCATGTTCCGTGCACGCGAGTTAGATCCATGAGGTGCTTTCATTTTGCAGCTTATCTAATCGGTTTATCAATGGTTGAAGCGCATGTTTGAACTGAGAACCCAGATCTGGCTCAACTGCCTACCAGCGGCTGATCTGTGCAGCTGAGTGTTGAGGTCGGTCGTTCAGTATGGACCCAAGACTGGATCATTCTAGCTTGGGAAAGCCATGGAGTGGCATCGCGGTGGCGCATGGCGATCATGCGATTCGGTTGGGGGCTCATGCCCAGGAGGTGCTCTGGTGGGGCAGCGCATTGCCTGATCAGAAGATGGCCATCTATGACGCTAGAGTTTCTAGCGGTGGAGCCCACTTTGTGCTGGAGCTCGCAGAGTACACGAAGGTGGTCTACATCCCTGAGGATGACGAGGTTGACATGTTCAAGTTCAAAGAGGTCACGGCAGGTGTGGGGGGCATCGGAATGGCCGCAAAGCATTTGGGGTTTCAATGCTTGGCCCTGATGGACATCAACCAGATGGTTTGTGAAACTTTGGCAGCCAATGGGCATTACAATGTCATCCAAGGAGATGTATTGATCCCGCAGGATAGATTTCGCTTGCATGAGTGTCACAATGCGAAGCGTGGATGGCTGTTCAGTGGTTTCCCGTGTCAACCTCTATCGACACAAGGGGATCAAAAAGGTGAACATGATGAACGTGCCAAGGTGTTCTTCGCAGTGATCAAGACAGCTTGGGAACAGCAGGTGAAGGGACTGCTACTGGAATGTGTTCCAGCAGCACTCACGGCCCCTTTCGTGCAGAATACATTGCAACAACTTGGTTGGAGTCTTGGTTTGGAGATCTGCCAAACCACTTTGACTTTGAGCAATTTTTGGCCGAACAAAAGGACGCGATGGTGGGCATTGCTTGTTCCCAAGATCTACTCAGTGGGTCACATCAGCAACCTTCCTATGGACACCTATTTCCAGCACTTGCAGGACATCTTTGCTCGGTGGCCGATTTGGTCTGATGAAGAAGAGCGCGAACTCGAAGTTTCGGATTTGGAGCTTGAGATGTTCCACAACAAAGCCTATGGAAGTGATGTACGACTACTACAAGTCAACCAGCCGGTTCCTTGTCTTCTACATTCCTATGGGGCAGTACTTAGTGACTGCCCATGTGGATGCCGCAAAAAGTTGAGTATGCAGCGATTGCTGACCGCAGGCATGAGAGGCTTCTATGTCATTGGCAAGCATGGTAAGCCGAGATATCTTCATGTTGCTGAGGCGGCTTACATTTGCTCCATACTACCCACTATGGTTTTTCCACATGGTCCTCGCAAATCCCTGTGCCTGATAGGGCAATGTGCAGCACCACTGCAGGCAATGTGGGTGCTTGGACATTTCCTCGATTCTCTTGGAATCAATCAGTATGGCAGCACATTGGGTGCACTGAAATCATACCAGCAGCACCTCATGCGAGAGGCTCATGGCAGGTTTCAGTTTGATTTGAAGCCTTTTGACACGATGGTGTTCGCAGAACAGAATGACCCGCCTATTCCTCTCAAGGTGACGCCAGGTGAAACCATCAGCTCACTTTGCCAAGCTGAATCCAAATTACTGGAACCAGGCTGGCATGTTGCGGTCCATGATGATCAAGGAACTCTGGCTAAAGAATCCAAACTTCAGGTAGCTCCTCTTGTGGGCAACTACCGGTTGGAAACCAGACTCAAGAAACAGAAAAAAGAATGCGAGAAAGGTGTCATTCAACTCAATTTCCTGATCGGAGTGGGTCAAGAAGTGAAGATGGTGGGTGGCAGATTCATTGCAGGAACATTTCTGTTTGAAGCGGCAGCATCGTTGGGCCTATCAGGAAATCATCTTTTACAAGATGCGCACGGAGCACTTCATGGGCTTGATGAGAGAGCCTGGAGCAGCATGTTGCTGACAGGTCTGAACATGTTTCAAGCCGAAGGCATTGCTATCACCACACCAATTGGAGGTCTTTCAGATTTTTGTCTTGATGTCATGGCAACATGGCTCATTCGGCAAGCCTCCAAAGAACGGTCATGCTTTTGGATGCCAGCTGCAATGGCCACAGTATGGTTTCATGATGGCAGTGACAATTGGTTGGATCACTGGGCACTTGCTGCATTGCATGGAAGGTTGTTCATGGCAATTGCCATCAACAGGCATTGGATTCTCCTTGAAGCCTTCTATCAGCATGGACTACTGCAAGTGATCTACATGGATGGACAAGAACATCAAGAAGATGCCGCTATTCTGCAGTTTGCAGTACGGCTCGGCAAGTTGGTCATGATCGCACCGGTCAGTTTGACAAAAAATCAACTTTTTCCCCAGCTTAGCTGTCAGACATGTGGCACTGTTGCCCTTCTGCATCTTGGAGAGAGGCTTGGACTGTGGACAGATGTACAGCATCCCGATGAGCTTGACTGGCATCGTTACCTTTTTCAGTTCTTTCCGGAGGGCATCCTCACAGCAGAGGGCAAGGGTGGTCAAACAGATGATCGAGATCTTGTTTGGATGCTTCGAGACATTTTGCGTGAGCACGGAGTTCCAGATGATCGCACAGAAGAACGAGCCAGAGCTGCGCTGGACAAGATTGGAGCAACTCGCTTACGAGATGCAGTTCAGAGCAGGAACCCTTGGCAAGCACTTAAAGCCTTGGGATCACAACCTCGTGTGAATTTCATGTTTGTCAAGCCAGATGAACTGGAGCGCCAGATTCGTCAGCGAGCTCAATCAAAGTTCAAGGTTCACTCCGCAGACAAGAAGAACAAGGTGGCGAAACCCAAATTGGAAGGCAGCGACGTTGATCCCTCACAGTTGAAGCTGATCGAGGACACCTTCATCTTGCAGGACAAGGACACTCCAGTGCAGCAGCTGCAGATGAGCGAAGTGGCCACGCACAGAGCCGGTTTGGCGTTTGGAAGGATTGCAGAAGTCCTGCCATTCATTCGTGAAGGTAAGTCACTGTCGTTGGATGGCCTTGCAGTGTTAACCACTAGCAAGATTCCGCCTTCTGAACAAGGTCTCCTACCAGTTATCAATCTCAAGTTCCCAGCAATCTACGTTCCCACTCAGGAGCCCATCTTGCTTGAAGGATCATTGGTCAACTTGGGAGACCTCACCATTGTCAGGAAGCAGGAGATGGAGCTGATTGAGACGGTCTCCATTGGAACAGGAGTACTCAAGCTGACCCAGTACAAAGATGAATGGACACAAGACTGGGCGTCGCTTCTCAAAGCACCATTGAAAACGATCCTTCAACAGCATCCACTTTTCACCGTTTGCAGTGGACAGAGATGTGGTGGCAATTGCCCCAGATATCATCCTCCAGTCGATGTGGAACTGGAAGCGGTGGTTCTGGATGTATGGGCAAGAGCATGGCTTTCTTTGCGTGGGAAAAGGGTGGATCAGGAGAATGCAGACCTGTTTCAGGTATTGATTAGAGTTCCAGAATGCTTGGTGAAGCCTTTGCAGCGGCTCAGCGGCACAGCTGGGCTGTACATTGAGCCCAGACAGTCAGAGGGCAAAGGAGCAGATCAGAACTCCTCAGTTATCTGGCTCCCCAACTGCAATTTGGCTGAAGCGCAACACAAAATGAAGATCACAGAGCATGCTTGTGCCATTGCCAGGTTTGGAGGAAGGTACGGCATCAGAGTCCCAGCTCGGGAGGCTGAGCACATCCACTCCCAGCTGAACCCGGAGGTCCCATTTGCCAGCTTTGAAGTTCACAAGACGTTTGAGTTAAGGCCTCTCCCACATGGCACACAACGACTTGGGGTGTTGAGTATGTTGAAAGCCTGGGGGTGGAAAGCTCGGCCGTTGCAGCCATGCAAAGCTGACAGCAATGGTATGGGGTGGATCGTAGGGGCGGCTGAAGACCCTCCCAGCATGATTATCCCTACAAAGGCAGGAGACGTCATGATCTCATTGCACAAGGCGCATGGGGATGGAGAAGGTGGAAGCACATTGACGTCCTCGGCAAGAACGCAAGGATATCTGAGGAAGCAACAGAAGGAGGAGAGGAAAGGAGTGCCACCAAGTCAAGGGCACAGCAAAGCACAGGCATCTTCGTCTGTCATGGTCACCAGCGAGGCGGATCCATGGATCGGCAATGATCCCTGGGGAGGTTGGAGGAGCACGCCACCCAATCAGGATGAGCCAATGCACGTGAAGGCGATGGCTGAATCACTTGAGGAGAGGGTCACAACGGGTGTCATGTCGGCCAATGAGGAGCGTTTTCAAAAGCTTGAGGTGGACATTGCTGAGATCAGACAGCAGAATCGGAAACATGAACAATGGTTTCAAGAAGCGGGTGCAGCCAACCAAAGATTGCAAACCCAGGTGGGCACTTTGTCCACACAGTTGGCCCAGAATCAGCAGGAAGTCACGTCGCTTTCGGCGGAGATCAAGATGGGATTCCAGTCGATGGAGGCATTGCTCTCCAAAAAGCAGAGGACTGACTGTTGACGGCGTGAGTGCGAAGTGGACTGCCAATCCTCTTCACGATGCACTCAGCCTTGGGCAAAAGGTATGAAGTCATGGTTTCTTTTTATTTGGTGCTGGATTGCTATCTTCTTGACACCGGTTCATGCAGCATTCAATACCAAGGGGGAGGGCAATTTCACATCGTCAACATATGTGGTTTTTGCTGATGATGTGGCTAGTTCCACGGCTCTCAAACCTACTTTGATGGAGTTTTCATTCACCGATGCTTTTCTACATGCGGTTCGCATGATGCAGACAGCGGCTGACGTTCCAAACCAGCCAAATCAACAGAATCAAGGCGTTCCTGGCAATGACGATGAAATAGATCAGGAACCCTTCATGGACTTTGACAATCTGGACATTTTACAAGATTTTCCTGGAGACCAAGAATGGTGGTTCTTTCGACCTGATCCGCACAATCTTGGAAGAAGGGAAACATTGCGTCTCCAAGTGACAGCAACTACCTCCATGAGGGAGATTGAACAATCGCTTACAGCAGCTTGGCCGGATCTCCGTCCTGGACGACCAGATTGGGAAATTCTTCTTGCTCATTACAATGCCTTTGACGGATTTCATGCTCCGCTCACAGCAGGGAGCTCAGCCTTCATTGTCAAGGTGCAGAATGATCTTGACCAGGGTTTAGCGCAAAGATCCATTATATTGCTCAGCCTTCGCACTTGGATTGCCACCACTGGTTATGCAGCGACAAGTCCACTGAGGGCTTTTGTTGTGGACACTCAGAGCTATGTCAGAGAGTTTTTCCAGAGCATTGACTTTCATCAGCGTTGTGACAGAGCACCATGTGCAATTGAGCACAATGGTCAAGTCCTTACTCCATGGAATCATGAATATCCTCTACGTTGTTGGGATGGTGATTTTGTTCAAGTACAGGCAGTTGCTAGAGCAGAGGCGCTGATGCAGATCACAGGTTTGCATGATGCATCACACTATCCTACATTGGATGAGATGCCGGAAGCATTTCAACAAAATGCCTTGCAATCACTGACTGGTTTGGGAGTGGAGGATGATCAAATTCTGTTGATCACTGGGAACTTTCAGATTTCTATGACCTCATGGATACGTGACATTTACAAGTTCACTGAAATGCAGGCCATTACCAAACAATGCCTTGGTGTCTTTCTACCTGAAGGGGATAACATAGTGTTCATGCGATTCAATCTGCAAACACCATTCAATGTCTATGACCTGTACGATGGTATCGTGCAGTACATGCTGGATGGAGATGAGCAGAATTGGAACTTTGTTGCAATCAAAGAAATCGCAAATTCTCACCTGGACATGGATACGCAGATCTTGGGCATTCATTTGGAAACTCATCAGTCCTTCTTTGAACTAGATGCGCTTTGTCTGGTTGAAATTCATTTGCAGCAGAATTTTCGCGGAACACTTGCATTCCCAGATATTGAGTATAAATCAAGGTATTTTCCAGTTCTGATGACAGAAGAGCAGATGTGGGGACAGCTTGATTTGGATCGTCTATGCGTTGATGAGGACTGCACCACTGTAGTTGATGGACGCTTCATTTTGAGAGGAGATCGTTTTGCAGTAGAAGATGGTAGCTTCATCCAGATCTATATTGGTGATGAGCATGAAACAATGTCCACACAGAGTGAGGCAGTTGAAACATCCGAATTGACTGGTCATACTCAAGAGATGGAAATCCACGCTGCAGAACCTCGAAGCGTGGAGCAACCAGACCTTACCACAGGGCAATTTGGTAGTTTACCTTTTAGTCCTTGGGGAAGCATTTGTCTGTCACTGCACAAACACTTTCCTGCTCTTTCTTGGGGTTTGTTTCTCACTTCCTGGACAGCGGTAGCAATACAACTGCAAGTGATGCGAGTTGGAGAAGCGCAACATCCAGGACCTCGCATGTGGATTGGCACAACAAACCCGAGTGGATTGAGAGGAAAAGAGGAATCGTACTTTGAGTTACCTACTGGTATTTGGGGCATCTCAGAGACTCACTTGACTGCACTCAATCAGAGGGATGCCAATTCAGCTATGCATAGACTCAGTTTGCGCAAGAATCGATTTCTTCAACTTCAACATGGTGCACCAGTCCTGCCGCGAACGGCTAGTTCGACCGCGGGTACATGGTCAGGAGTAAGCATAGCAACCGATTTGGCTTGCAGAGCTATCTCCATTCCCTGGCCACACTCTGAATTTGCACTAGGACGAGTTCAGCTAGTTCAGGCTTGGTATGGACCATTTCATGTATCAGGGGCAAATCTTTATGGCTGGCCCAAGTCCCCTACATGGCCTCGGGCTACTGAAGCCACCGAGCAGTTGCTTGCCCATGTGACAAAGGAGATGGTTCTATCTAGAACTGGACCCAGATTTGTGATTGGTGATTTCAATTGCGATGTTTTGGAATCGCCTAGTGTTGCGATCTGGAAAGCTCAGGGGTGGATCAATATTCAAGATTGGGCGTTTGAACAGCATGGCAGGGCCTACACGTACACCAGCAAGCAGGTGAACATTCTGGACCACGTGTTTGTATCACCCGAACTGGCTCAGTTTCTATGCTCAGTTGACTCATGGAATTTATTCGCTGACCACACAGCAATTGGGGCTGAATTTGATATTCCAGTCAGGATGGTGGAGCAGGTGGTGTGGCCAATGCCGGCGTACATTCCATATGACAAGGTCAACATGGAGAAGTGGCATCGATACCCATTAGAGCTGAACATTCAGGGTTCCGTTGATGAGCGATTCCAACAACTGAGTGTTGCTTTTGAGAATAGCTTTGATGGCTGCATTGATGCACCAGGGCAGAAATTGCCCCCAGCAATGCGTGGGAGAGGACAGAAATCGTCGCCAGAGAAAAGGCAGCAGCAGACACCGTTGTTGCGGCCATCCAGACCAGGTGAAGTCCAACCTTCTTCAGACCTGCTTGGAAGAACGGTACACAAATGGTTCATGCAATTGCGGCGCTTGCAATCAATGCTTCACTCCCTCAAGGCCAACAAGCAGACCTGGGATGCCTGGATATACAGGGCCGAGCTCTGGAGATCTATTAAACATGCCAAAGGTTTTGATCAAGGCTTTGTGAAGTGGTGGACTCTCCGACAAGTGCAATGTCAGGGGTCACCTCAGAACTGGCCTGATAGGGTACCCACAGTACAGGTGATGCAATGTCTGTTTCAAGACTATGAAATCAACTATAGAAGGTTTGAGGCCTGGCACGCAAAACAAAGGAGTGACATGCTTCAACTGACGTTGATGGAGAATCAAGAGAAGATCTTTGCAATGGTTCGTCCCACATGTAAAGCTCCTTTACAGCATTTGGAAGAGAGATGGGATGTCCCAGTTTTGGGCATCTCTGATGATCGCACACAACTGCATCTGGAGCATGAAATACCAGTGGACAACACCTGCATTGCGGAGATTGATGGTCAACATATTCATGTGACAGCAGCAGATGGACCAGTCGTCTCACTGGCGACTCAAGTTGAAGAGGAGGATCCGGAAATGGTTCGCATCACCAAACACCATTCTACGGTGGACCAAATTCAGGAGCATTTGGCGGCTTTTTGGAAAGCTCGATGGTGGAAAGAACCACCATCACATGCGGACTGGCAGAGAATCTTTGATTTCTGTGCAGCCTATATTCCCAAACAACCAGAGATGCATGAAGATATCACACTGGCTCAATGGCACACCATTAACAAGCGCTATGGTAAGACCTCTGCGCGTGGACCAGATGGATATGCAAGAAGGGATCTTCAATGGATGCCAGAATGCCTCCAAGAAGAAATGGTCTGTCAAATCAACAATTGGGAAGAAACAGGCACTTTCCCAAAACAGCTATGCACTGGATTTGTCCACCCACTTCCAAAGCGGGAAGATTCGGTACTTGTCAACGACTTTCGACCCGTGATCATCTACAGCATGATTTACAGGTCATGGTCATCCTTAAGGGCACGTCAGTATCTGAAGCTCATTAAGACATTGGCGGGATGTCATCAATTTGGATTTCTTCCACAAAAGGAGAACACAGAGATTTGGATGGTTTTGCAAGGTTGGATTGAAGACTCAACTGTTTCACAGCAGGCCATTGCGGGCTATGTTGCAGACATCGAGAAGGCTTTTGAATGTTTACCGCGTGAACCTCTGCTCTGGCTTGGGAGAAGGATGGGCATGTCACGCAAGGTGTTAACAGTTTGGAAGTTTTTTCTGGACAACATGACTCGCCGTTTTATGCTGTCGAACCAGATTGGACCAGCACTTGCTTCTACATCTGGGTTTCCTGAGGGATGTGGTATGAGCTGCGTGGCAATGGCTTTGACAAACGTTGTTTTTCACAAATACATGGATGCATATTCGCGGATCACATCATTGAGTTTTGTTGACAATCTAGAGCTGGTCGGGCGTTCAGTGCAATCAGTGCATGAGGGAGTCTTGACTATGGAGGCTTGGGCAAGTATGTGGATGCTTAAGCTGGATGCAAGCAAATGCTACGCTTGGGCTTCTTCATCGACTTTGCGTTCACAATGCCAAGCCGCAGGTTGGAATATCAAAACTCATGCCAAAGATCTCGGCGCACCAATGACCTATGGATCGAAACACAGTGTGGTTGATCAGCTGGACAGGATCAAAGCCTTGAAGCCTGTATGGGCCATGTTACGCCGTCTCAATTGTCCAATATGGGCAAAGCAGAGAGTTTTGTTCCAAGCGATGTGGCCAAGGGCCTATTATGGTAGCGCTATTTGCTGCATGAGTTGGATCCACACAAAGGCGTTGAGAACAGAAGCCATGAGGGCATTGAAATGGAACAGAGGGGGCGCCAGCCCAGGCATGCGTCTGGGAGTTTTGAGTGCACCTCTTACTGATCCCGGATATTACCATTTCTGGCATACTATTCTTACATTTCGTCGAGTTCTCCGAAAACAACCAGGTTTTTTGGATTTGTGGAAGTCTTACATGGCAAAGTATGACGGGAAGCAGTCTTATGGGCCTTTTGGCAAGCTTCTAGAGGTGTGCGCACAAGTTGGCTGGCACATTGAGCCTCCTTGCCTGAGAGATCATGATGGAGTTCAAATGCATCTGGCACGAGTGGATATCAAGCTGCTGGAAGCACAAGCAGTGGATGCATGGCGGCAAAGCATCGCCTACACTTTTGCTCAAAGAAAGGATGTTCATGGACTCTGCGGAATTGATTGGCGAGCGCTGGATAAGGTGTTCCGGAACTTGCCCAAGTATCAGAAGGAGACTCTGCATGTGTTGCAGGATGGCACTTTCATGGATGGGAAGATGCATAGCAAGTATGACAATACGAAGACAGGGAAATGCGGGTTTTGTCAGCGAGATGACACATTTGCACATCGTTGTGAAATTTGTCCAGCATATCAAGAAGTTCGGAATCGTCATGCAGAACTTTGTCAACATTGGGATGAATATCCTACATCCTTGACTCTTCGTCTTCTGCCTAGCAGGAATCCGTTTGAACAAACCTACAGAATCAATCAAGCTTCAGAGGAGTCCAAACAGATTGGCCTGCAGTGCTTAGCATCTCGCCAACAGCTGGACTTGTTCACAGATGGGTCTTGCAAAAATCCTACAACACCATGGGCTTCAGCCGGCGCATGGGCTATTGTCAGTGCTACTCATGATTGTGTGGTGGCCAGAGGAGTTTTAGGTGGACTGGAACAAACAAGTGACAGGGCTGAGTTGCAAGCCATAGCAGTGGCAATTGACTACGCAGTTCTGAATCGAGGGGTCACCACTATCTGGTCAGACAATGCCTATGCTACAGAGGGAGTGGCACATCTCCTCCAATCTGGCGAATGTCCATTTGACAAATATGAAAACCTTTGGAACCGAATCCAAACTAGCCTACAGGGTCATCAAGATCGAATTTTTGTGCAGCATGTTACCTCACATCGTTTATCACTTCGCCTTAGCATGGATGTGGATGACTGGACGGCGTATTGGAACGGCCGTGCTGACCATGAAGCTGAGGTTGCACATTCATTAAGGAGTTACGAAGTAGAAAGAGTACGACAATCCATGATCGCACATCATAACAGGATGGTGGAGATCCTCGCGCAGTTTGTCAGCTTCCACTTAGACATTGCGGAGTATCATGCTAACATGGATTATGTGGACGTGCTTGAGGTTGAGGAGATAATGGATTCAGAAGTACCTGAAGGGCTGGATGGTCGCCGACTATGTCTTGCACATGTTTCATGGCAAAGAGACCTACCAGATTTTGGGTCGGAAGATATGAGGTGGCTGGCACTGTGCCAGCGATTTAGCTTGGATTTTACCAGGGGCATGCTACATTGGCTCAGGGAAGAGACATCATTGCAGGATGTGGTTACCTACAAGATGTCATTGATTGAGATAGCAGTGTCGCTGTGCTCTGGCTTTCGTGGAATCCAACTACCTCAACCTGACCCAGATCGCAGACTCTGTTGGGTAGATGTACAGACATTGCCGGCTGCACATGTCAGTAGGCCCACCATTGCATCAATTTTGAAGCTTGTTCAAAATTTTTTTGGTGCAATTGAACAGATTTTTGATTTTGACTTGCATTGGACAGATCGATTGGATCTTTCATCATTGGGTGTGACGCGTCCATCCAAAGGACTGTCATTGCTATTGGGGGGCGGTACCGTCAAAACGATGGAACAGCACTTGATAGCTTGTACTTACAGGCGACCAATTCGAAAGGCAGGGGATCTTTCTCGGCCAATTAGATAGGTTGCAGAATGACCATCACGGTCACTGCTCGCTGTGACCTGATGACTTGATGAGTCCGCGCGTGAACTGAGAACCCCAAGACTGTACATGTTTGAACTTGTTCGACCGGAGGCAAACAGGAGCTTTACTTTGGCTTTGTCAAATTTTACCCTCGGTAGGATGGAAGTGTGGGGCTGAGTGGCTTAATTCAGTTTGCATGTTCTGATTGAATCAAAGATTCTTGAACTGGGTATTGTCACAAGGATCCGGTCCGCTGAATGCGATTGGTTTGGAATGATTCCGATAGCATAGCTGGACATAGCTTCCATACATTGTGTTCTGCAGCTCCGCGATGTTTCAGGTGGAACTCATCCCATGAGCCGATACATTTCCAGATTTCTGGGTAGCTTTCTCAGTGCTTTTGGCTGTGTTATCTGTGTTCACACCAGAATTTGACAATGGGATCATTTGGGATCATTTTCCAGGCTTAAATTTTGGTCGTTTTAGTGAATCTCTATGTTTCAGTACAACATATTTGGGATGTTTTGGGATCATCTGAGGCTTCCTGCTGACGTGAACGACGTGAACGTGATGGATTGCGAGCTGCTGCAGCCAGGTTTGAAGATCACAACTTGAGTGCAGCTTGTGCCATGTCAGTCATCGATTCTGGCAGAATTTGGTTGGCAAACTTCGAACTCAGCTGGTGAGTTGCTTAGCTCTTGCGCTGGTTGCTGGGAGCGATCTGTTCTGCCCCACAGGGTCAAAACATGTTAAAACACTCTTGTATTCCAAGGTGGGCAGTGTCAAATTGCAGTTTTTTCGGTTGTGACCTCAGAGCCGGAAACTTGCAACCAGGGTTTGAAACTGTTTGAATTAGTCAAAGATGAAATGCATCTCAGGACTCCTCATGTTCGCACTTGATTGAGTCGGCCTCCACAGCCTATGACAGTTTTGCAAGCATGTTTGCCCCAAAGCTGCACCTTTCTGTGACTTTGCGTGATTTTGCGCATATCCAAAAGATGTGGCCTGAACATGCCACAACTTATATCCGAGCGGAGCTAAGATAATCTGCACCAGGTGAGTATCACAAAGTGAGTATCACCAGGTGAGTGTGCGGAACATGTAGCAGAGACCAACCCACATTGATGCCAGGTGAGGCAGTTTTTGAACGTCGAGTGGTGCTAGCAGCCTGAATCTTAGGGGCAGTTAAAAGCAATAGTTATGTTATGTTATTAGTATAGTTGTCATGTTTTCTGGTTGAATGCGAGCAAACTCTGGCCAAAGCCTTGCTCAGACTTCTTTCTTGTGGAGGCTGGAGTGTTTGATGTTTGGATTCCTGGCCATCGGCAGTTGCCTTAGATGAAATGGATTTTATTTGCTTTCAGAAGCCCATCAGAACTCGTGGAAGCGTCGCCTTGCTTTACCTTAGCAATACTTTGCCTTGGCAAGACCGATGGAGAGATTGCTGAGGCAAGCAAATTGCTTTCGAATGCGACTTCCAGCCTACTTCATCCGCAGTACAGATCACTCAAAGGCCGTTCCGGCAAGCATAGTTTTTCTATGCATGTAGGCTCTTGTCGCATGAGGCTCTGTCGTCTTCCATCACTGTCCTCAAAGGAGACAGGCCCAAGCTCTTCATGGGCCGAAGTTGATATTTTGCAATGTCGTAGCCAGTGTTGTAATTCGCCTCGGCAGCCTCTCTATGGCTGAGCTGAGATTGGAACGAGATGTGACAAGACCCACTTGGTTTGTTTGTCTCAGCTGTGGCCATTGAAGATGTGAAAGTATCGGGAGAAAAAAACGCAACTCAGACCTGAGGCTGCAAGAGGCGGCAGTATGCGCATCATAAACTCGTTCAGGTATGATGCCAGCTTTGCGTCCCGCATCTATCAAGCAACTTCAAGGTGAGTGATGTGTTCGCATTTTCCGTTTGTTTTCTGACAGCTTGGCAGCGAATGGCCCGCAGTGGTCCTGATTTCATTTGAGCTGAAAGAAGTTTGAGAGCATCCATTGACTGGGGTATCGGCTGTCCTTTTCCGTTTTTCCAGAGACAACTGGTCTGCTCTGTTTCGTCTGGACATCATGCTCACTGAACTCTAGTGCTGCAGTGGCTGCAGTCCCGAAGCCTTAACTCCCCAAGCTCCCTTTCAAACGGGAGGGAAACCAGAAAATCCATGCCATTTTGTCACTTGTGATTTCAGGTTGGAGATCGCTATTTTTCGCAGTTATGGACCAGGTGCATATGCTTTTCGGTCGAGTAGAAAAGCATCTGGAGACCAAGAAAATTCCATGGAACTCCTATGCTTGATGCTGCAAGAAGTGGCAGGCATAGAAGTGAACTCCGCCGTGACCGTCATGGGATGTGTATTCGCAGTGCTGATGATTGTCCACGCAGCTGGTCTCGTTCTTGCCTAAAGTACCTTTGATTTTCTCAAAGTCTGCATTTTCTTGTTCGAGCCAGAGATACAAATCTGGATTGCGATCTTGTACAAGTTAAGCATGTTGAGCTGCTGAAGAGTCTCAGGTGAGAAAAGCTGGAGGCCTGCGGGAACTGGGAAGGACTCCCCTGGCTCCATCTCTAGAATTGATTCGGGATTGAGCACGACAGGGTGTAGTAAGACAGGGTGGTCAACAAGCCGTGTGACCCACAAAAGACTGCACCCACAATAGCTCACAAGCCGTTAAGTGTTTCAGGGAGGATCCGCCATGAAAAAAATGCTTGAGTTGTTTCAGTTGGGCTTCAAAAGTAGAACTTTGTGCTGAACATCAGTTTCTGCTGTCTTGAGTCTTCCACAATTTGGCGAATTCTTCCTGTTGGAAAGGTGCGCAGAGTCCCAGAAGAAGCTTAGTGGTGGGATGCCTGGCAGTCCTTGCCTGACAGATCTTGGAAAGTTGTCAAATTCAATATATAAAATTTCTTGGGATTTTGCTACCAGCTACTACCAGCTACAAGATGAAACACATGTTCAAACCTTAAAATGGAACGGCGGATGGTTTTTTGGTCACTGCCTGCCTAATTGATAATTGACTTTCCGACATCTCACGGTTTTGGTCTTGTCTTCCACGACTCTCCAAACTTGTCGATTCCAAAATAGAAACGCAAGTGCATGGGTTCATTCGCACATTGCACCATTGTCAGATGTGAAGTTCATACACTTTACACATATTTACATGATTTGCACGTGCGCAAGTTGATGACAAGTGGGGACACGGTCCGAGGCGCGAGCAGATGTTGGCCCTGACAAGATTGGCGCCATGTACTAAGATTTCTTGCAGGGCTTGAGATTGGTGAATTCCGTGGTCGAACTTCAAGCTACTGAGCTACTGGATGCTGAGGCTGCGACCACGCATGATGGACATGTGCGACGGGTTGATTCCTGAGTTTGTTCAACTTCGCTGTGCTTCCAGCTGTGAACTCTCCAAGTGACTCTGTGGGCAAAGTCATGTTGATGGGGCAGTGCTTGTGCAGAAACATTCCTTTCAGGGGAGCATTTCGAGCGCAGAAGAACGGATCACGTGGCTCGGCAGTCCCACAAGGAGTACATGTACATGCAGCACAATTTGGGAAAAATCATTGAATACAATTGAATACCAATGAATACCACATAATATTGAATGGCATATTGAATCCAATTGAATCCAATTGAATCTAATTGAATCCAATTGAATCATTTGATGCAATTGCAATAGTTGCAATGCACAAGATGCTGCCCTGAGGTGTGATGCCCTCGCAGACTTTTGCCTGGGACTCTTCCTCTCCCTGGAGTGCCATGGCTGCACCAAATCAAGCGAAAGAGGTGTGTATAGTGATCTGCCATGTTTCCACTAGACATCACTAGACTAGATTGTGTCCTTGTTGCTGTACTGGCCACATTGGCCGTCTTGTAGAGCTCAGGTTTTGCTTGTTGACTTTGTATTTGGTGACTCATACTTTTGTGACTGAAGCGAAACTTGGATGCAATTTGGTGTTGCGGAGCTTGTCCGTGTGCTTTGAAGGGCTTGAAACACAGCTGGATTGAGGATTGTTGCATCCACTTTGGCGGCATTGCTGATGCCCATACTTCTCGTACCGTATCTTCTTGGCATGGAAGGTAAGAAACATCTTGGTTTCACAGTGGTCTGTCAGGCTATGGCATGGATCAAACTTATCACCCCCAAAACAGAAATGTTTAAGACCAGATTTTGTGTGTACACCAATTTTGACACAATCCCATATATTGTGCAGGTGGTGCGCGAAGCCCAGTGGCTGATGTCTCAGAATCCAAGGAACATCCTGCCAAGAGGCCTGTTAAACGTGCGTATGCCACTGCCTCTCGAATATACTGTACATTGACTGTACGTTTGTGATGCTTTGAAGTGTGGAACTGGAAGGTGGTCAACAAGGCTGAATGCTTGGAAGCCTGCAGAAAAGAGTCGCTTTTGTGTCAAGTTGCTCATGCTCTTGGTCTTCTTTGCTCTGTGCTTGGTGGGGTCCTCAGCCACATTCAGCCACATGCAAGAGGAAAGACAAACTACATTCATTTTGTTGTGAGCTGTCAAGAGAGCTGAGGTGTATCACATCCAGGTTGCGTGTTTCTATATCCACAAGTACACATTTGCCTGCAGAAGAAGGATGAAACGATGCAAATGCAGCTGTGTCTGACAGAGCATTCTGTGGACTTCACAATGTTCATGCTTAAAGGAAATGAATCCATTTCTGACAATGGATTGACAAGAACTGATAGAATTACAGGATCCATTCATAGCTCATCATGTCCCAAGGTAAATGTGCGTGCGTCGTAAACTTCCTGATTGCTGCTCTGGCAGCTGTCTCTCGAGTAGCTGGGTATGCACACATGAGCTGAACACCTTCAAGTGACACCAGCTCTTACGTCGTGACGCAGTGACGATGTGTCCATCTGTGTTGAAAGCACTTCCGAGGCATTGGTGTCAACATCGGTTTACACCATCATATACAGGACTTCAGAGAATAAGCAGGCTCCAGCCTTAATCTTTGCAGTTTGGAAAGATTCATGCGACATGAGACTGCCATAGAGTATCATAGAGTCCTGTTGTCAACTAGCCATATCTAGCCATCTCAGATCCGCTTTGTGAGTTGCCCAGGTGGTGTGTGCCACCTTCGCGAAATGCCTATGTTTCTGCTGCAGCCTTCCAGTGTTGCTGTTCATCATCATCGATATCGCCATGCAGCCAGCGGTGCCCAGCGATCTGCTGCTGGCGGTTCCCAGCGACGGAGAGGTCATCCTGTGGAGCCTCATCAGCTGTGTGGTGCTACTGCTTGGTCGACAGCTACTGCTGCTACCTGGATTATCGGTGATGACTGACTGGAGTTCCAATACATTTGGAGATATTCATACTAAAATCATCTAAAATCATACTAATACATCTTTTGAATATGTAATATGTCTGTAAATATATGTAAATGTGTTCGTCTGGAAACAACTGAAATAGAACAGATCCACCACTGAGGCAAATGGGTGCTAGAAAGTTGAAGAAGTAGATGCATCTGAGGTTCTGTACAACAGTTCCACTACATGAAGACTGTGAAGACTGTGAAGACTGCGAAGACCGCGAGGCAAGCAGGAAACGTTATTTTGGTGAAGGAAACAAAAGCGGAAGAAACTCTAAATTCACCTTGACTCGCTTCACATTTTGACTGGATATGACTTGACATGACTCAATAATTGGTTTGCCTTTCAAGCGGAGTCTTGAACAGTCGCTTTCCGGGTGGTCCTGTGTGAAGAGCAGTCTGTGATTTGCCTTCTTTGGGCTACGCATAAGATCACATAACTCCTTCATGGCAAGAGACAGGCGGAGCAAGAGGAGGAAGAGGCTGATCCTGAACATGCCTTTGGTGATGCTTGTGTTCCTGATGATGCCGAGGACTCTAAAATCTCGAAAGTATCGACTCTTATTTCTACTTCTTCTATTCACTTGCTTTCAGCTTGAGTTGATGAATGTGGTTTGAAGATGTTTGAAGATGTTCAGCCAACACAACGCACATGTCGCATAAGATCCTTGGCTCAGAGGACTCACACATGGCCAGCAAAGATGTATCCATGACGGGCAAGGATCATGAGGCGGCCGTTCTGTGGGGATGTGGAAAGCCCCTGCAGCGGGCAAACAAAGTTTGAAAGGCATGGCAGAAAGTCATCATCCGGGCAATTATTCACAAGACAGTGTACAGTGTACAGTCTGAAGATTCATAAATTTTTACATTCTTCGGTTTTTGGCATTGGCCAATGAATCTATATGTGGGAGACTACACGTGAAAAGAGGGGGGTTGGTTGGAAAGTGTTTTTCCCTTACTTGCATGATGATGACTCGTGCTTGTCGCAGGTGTTGATAGAGCCAGAACCTCCGTGGAACCGTGAAAGCCAGGCAAGTTGCCATGTGAGCGATGGTGTGGGAAGCTAACCAATTCTATGTATTATATATATAGTATAATATGATATGATATAAGCCTATCCATATACACATCCATTTGCACCTTGTCTTGGAGAAGACACTTGTCATGGATGCTGGCAGGTTTCCAAGCCGCCTGAATCTGATGGAGGGAGCATTTTGCCAGCAAGTGCACTGCCTTCAAATCAGGCCAGGTAGTATGAATCTATGGCTTGGGAGGATATTTCCCATATTTTGGCTGTTGTATCTAAAGGCTCTTGTTTGACTGAGGTTTGGGCTCGGACATTTTTTAAACGAGCAAAGTATCAAAGGCATGACCAAGCGTTTGATAAATTCATTGATTCGATCTGGTTCACAGCTTGTGGCTTCGAGAACTGCAAAGTTCATCTCGAGATGTGCATGTGTGGCTTTCTCTGGCTGAAGATGATGCTTGCAGGTTTCAATGAATCCAGATCCTCCTGCGTGGAACAATCTGCCTGTGACAAGTGGAACTTCTGCAAGTCAGGCAGGTCTCATGTTCTGTCATGGGTTGAGTCTCGAACATGGCAAGAATGAATGGCTTGGCGGTTTCTTTTCTTGCCGCTTCCATGGCTTGCAGTGGTAGGCTGCACAGCCGTCTGAACCTCCTCCCTGGAAGATTTTGCCAGCAAGTGCACTGCCTTCAAATCAGGCCAGGTAGTATGAATCTATGGCTTGGGAGGATATTTCCCATATTTTGGCTGCTGTATCTAAAGGCTCTTGTTTGACTGAGGTTTGGGCTCGGACATTTTTTAAACGAGCAAAGTATCAAAGGCATGACCAAGCGTTTGATAAATTCATTGATTCGATCTGGTTCACAGCTTGTGGCTTCGAGAACTGCAAAGTTCATCTCAAGATGAGCATGTGTGGCTTTCTCTGGCTGAAGATGATGCTTGCAGGTTTCAATGAATCCAGATCCTCCTGCGTGGAACAATCTGCCTGTGACAAGTGGAACTTCTGCAAGTCAGGCAGGTCTCATGTTCTGTCATGGGTTGAGTCTCGAACATGGCAAGAATGAATGGCTTGGCGGTTTCTTTTCTTGCCGCTTCCATGGCTTGCAGTGGTAGGCTGCACAGCCGTCTGAACCTCCTCCCTGGAAGATTTTGCCAGCAAGTGCACTGCCTTCAAATCAGGCCAGGTAGTATGAATCTATGGCTTGGGAGGATATTTCCCATATTTTGGCTGTTGTATCTAAAGGCTCTTGTTTGACTGAGGTTTGGGCTCGGACATTTTTTAAACGAGCAAAGTATCAAAGGCATGACCAAGCGTTTGATAAATTCATTGATTCGATCTGGTTCACAGCTTGTGGCTTCGAGAACTGCAAAGTTCATCTCAAGATGTGCATGTGTGGCTTTCTCTGGCTGAAGATGATGCTTGCAGGTTTCAATGAATCCAGATCCTCCTGCGTGGAACAATCTGCCTGCGGCGACTGGAACTCCGGCAACTTCTGTAACACAGGCACATGGGGTTAATGGGTTATCTGAATCTGATGGGGGTGCTACTGCCTTCAGCATTCGGGAGGGGGAGAAAAGAAACTGTACATTAGGGCCTGTGTATGCTTGTCGCTTGTGCGTTTCTTTGTGTCACTGCAGCAAGATCCTGGCTTGCGGATTTTGTCGATCCTCCATGGTACGGGAGTGGGTTTAGGTTGCTTTGTGCTCGAGGTATCTGTGCTACCCGGTCCTCCTGCATTTGTCACTTTGCCGATTGCAAGCGGAACTTCGCTAGTGAAAGAGGCGCAAAAGTGAGAAGTGACAAATATCCTACAGTATGTGATCTGACATTATCTGATCAATCACATGCCGTGGCTGACAAATCTCCTTGGATGAGCTTTCCTTTGCAGGCGCAAACAGAGACAAACACAGCACCAGGAAGCGCTGTGAACGAGGCCACGCCTTTCAACTGCAATGATTTTTGTCATGATCCACTTGAGCAAAACTGCCTAGAGACTTGGGAAGGGGTATTGTACCTGATTCTTCTAGCTACCTAGCATGAACTATGAAAAAAACAAACCATGCCAGACTGTTCTTCGCCGGCTTTCAAGAATTTCCCAGCACTTCCTGGGTGCAAAGTTGAGCCCTCAGTGCTACTGCAGCTCTTTGATTTCCAAGTAAGTTGCAGCACGCTGTCAGGGCCAACTCCGGTGCCCCTTGGCTGCGCATAGTTTCTATTCATCCAAGAAGATTCCTTTCCGACACAGAATAGTTATGCCAGTTATGCAAGGCAAATGTTCGTTTTCCGCAGGAATGGGGTGTGTCCAGCTCCGAAATTTCAGAGGCTGGTTGACATACCTTACTCTTTCAATCTCTTTCATACTCTTTCGGAATTGGATCACCGCAGTTCGGTCCACATTCATCCAAAAGTTTGGATCGGTTTGGCGAGGCGAAGCCACAGTCTTTCTTGAAGGCGTTGAACTATGTCCAGATTTTTGGAAGTCAACAACTCTATGGTCATGGGATGTCATGGACGTACGGCCAGGATAATAGGAACAAACAGCTTTACCAATGGTTACCAATTTGGTTGAAATTTGTGATTCGCATGGTGAATGCAACAAGCGACGAAAATTTATTCGCGCAGGCCAAGCGGAAGAAAAAGAAAAAGAAGGTGAGACAGACTGCTGCTGTTCAGCTCCACATGCTCCCACAGTATCGCCTCTCCTTTTCCCTTCTCTTGGTGCAGGAGAGACCTTTAGAAATGGAATGACACTTTTGCTGAGTGTGAGTCAGTCACAGAAGTCATGGCACAAGTTCCATTGCACTTAGCTTTTCTGGGGTTTTCTCCCAGTGTACATGAACACTTTGGACTACTTGGCGAGGTTTGCAGGTCTGGCTTTCCAATTTGGACACAGAAAGGTAGACACTGAAAACAGACAATGTAAACCACTTGATGTGACACAGCTTTGGTTTGCATAGTATAAAGTGGCAATGCTAGACCAGTGCACGAATTCAAGCTTTTCAGTGCAAAGCACTGCACCCATTGCAGGACAATGTACTCATAATGTAATCTAGAATTAACCCATACCAAGTTCCCTATGCCAAAGGCAAAAAGGGCAACCATGCTGCGTTCTTGGCGCAGTGAGGTAGCGCCCGTGATACACGGAGCAGCGCCGAAAGTGTTGCTGGGACCACGACTGCACCAATGGAGAAAAGGCACATTGGTGTTCGAAAAAAAGAAGACGACAATGCAAAGACACTTGAATAACATGCTGACACCAGTTGACACCATGTCTTGGAGAAGAGTTGAAGCGAATCTAGCAGACTCTGCCAGGGCTAAGTTTGAAAGGTGTGGTGAAAGTTTAGTGCGTCACATTTTTTGAATCGGAGTTTTAACTGCAGCGTTGTGGCTTGGACAGAGCAGAAAGCTGTTCCGAAGCAGAAGTTGCTCAAAGAAAGGAGCTCAGAGTGGGGACTGTTAGCAAATGTCGAAGGCATACTGAAAAGCTTAGAATGACTGCCATACCAGCTCCAAGGCCAATGGCAGAAGTCACAATCTCAGAGATTTGATGCTACTATTGGCCGAGGAGGGTCAAACAGATCTTGGGCCGTTGCAAAGCCCTTGCAAAAACACTGTGTCAGTGCGGCACTGGAAACATTGCCAACATTCTGATCATTCTGTGGCCCTCTGCAGCTGTAGGCCCCGCCGCTGCATGGAGATGACAAAGAAGAAATAGCGGAAATTGAGGTCATCTGAAGCGAGCAAGTTCAGCAATGAAATGACAGCACCATGCAAATGCAAACCTGTGTGGAAGGGAGTCACTGCAGATGCCTACACAAGCGTTGCGCAGCAGCGAGCATCAGATAGGAGCGATGACATACATTCGCATCTCAGTGTTTTACTTGCAATTTCTTTGAGTTTTCCTTCTCTGTTCATTTGATGTAGTGCTCTGGTTTCACCAACAACATCGCTTGTGCTACCACAAAAGGAGAGGTGGAGACTGGTTACGAAGTAATATTGACTCGACTGTTGGAGAGGTTGTAGTTTCTTTTCAAGACCAGAAGCACAAAATCACGTTATTTCTGCAGGAAGCGCCGAGAACAAGCGGAAGATAGAAGAGAAGATCACAAACCCAAATTCATTCAGCCACAAAAGGAGCTCAGTGGCCTTGCTTCGCAATCACTCAGCTTGGTGCCACAAATGTCACTGACACTTCTCAAATGTCTTACTGCTGAAAAGCAGAGGAGAAGCGTTTCAAAATCTACATGAAATACGAAGGCAAGGCCCGTAAGGAATGCAGCATGCAACATATTGGGTCTACCGGGGAGGTTTGCCCGGAATTTTAACATGTGGGGTGGGGTGGGGTGGGGTGGGGTGGGGTGGGGTGGGGTGTGTCAACGTTGGTGTTCATGTGTACACATGGTACGCTGCTGGTGTGTTGATGTGTACACATGGTACGTGGGGTGGGGTGGGGTGTGTCAACGTTGGTGTTCATGTGTACACATGGTACGCTGCTGGTGTGTTGATGTGTACACATGGTACGCTGCTGGTGTGTTGATGTGTACACATGGTGCGCTGCTGGTGTGTTCATGTGTACACATGTACTGCTGGTGTGTTGATGTGTACACATGGTACGTGGGGTGGGGTGGGGTGTGTCAACGTTGGTGTTCATGTGTACACATGGTACGCTGCTGGTGTGTTGATGTGTACACATGGTACGTGGGGTGGGGTGGGGTGTGTGTGTACACACGTTGGTGTTCAACGTGGTGTTCATGTGTACACATGGTACGCTGCTGGTGTGTTGATGTGTACACATGGTACGCTGCTGGTGTGTTGATGTGTACACATGGTACGCTGCTGGTGTGTTCATGTGTACACATGGTGCGCTGCTGGTGTGTTCATGTGTACACATGGTACGCTGCTGGTGTGTTCATGTGTGCACATGGTACGCTGCTGGTGTGTCATGTGCAAACGTATCACGCAATCGCAGTGTCATGTTTGATTGTCCATCGTTTCCTCATCTTGATTGGGTTCAATGTATTTCTTCTTGCCATGTGTCTCCTTTCTGTCTGACTCTTTCTGTTTACTTCTGGTGTATGTGATATATATATATATATGTATGTATACTTCATGTCTGTCTATATATGTATGCAAATCGTGTCAAATGGAAACGCTGTAAATTACAGGTGATTGTTGATTTTTCCGCCAGATTTGGCGAAAAAAACTCAAGTTTGGACATTGTCAAAACATTCAATGATCAATTGCATCTGAAAAAAAAGATATGAAGTCTACTTGTGAACAACCACATTTTATATGAAAAAAACACAGTAAAATCAACACCATGACTACAAGAACAACAAACGGCTGCGGATACTCATCACATGTAGTCACAGTCGACCTTGTTCCAAGCCGGGCAAACCCCCCCGGCGGAGCCAACATATTGCAACATCGTCTTTAGATGTCTTTAGTCATAGCGGATTGGTATTCTAAAAAAGATTGAAAAAGGCTCAGAAGTGGATCTTACCAGGCCGGAAAGGTCCACCAGCTTGGATCAAATCGCGACTTCCCAAGCATGGAGGTTTCGAGGACGCATCCAGTATGATGCGCATCCTGCCTGTCACTGTAGTCCTACAGTGTCCCACATTGCTGGCTGTTGCTGTGTTGCTGTGCACCTTGCCGAATAGGATGGTCCATCTGTAGCAATCAAGAAGATGTTTGTGAACTTCTACAACCGCGTGCGCGAGATGTTGCCTGAATCCTGGAAGGCGTAGGACCGTAGGACATGACCTTTTTACAGAAGCGAGGTGGCTGAAATGTTCTATATTCGTCATTCCTTCTTTTTAATTGCTAAGCCACAAGAGAGCTGGTGAATCATTGAGGTCCGTTCACAGTGTTCATTTACGCAGCGAGACTGGCATCGCCATACCTGACGAGGTGCCAAACAGTTGCTTTCTTGTTGTCCCAGTCATTGCTCCACCAAACCAAACAAGTTCAAGCAGATCTACAGAGCAGGATTCAATTGCTGGCTATGTCGGATATGGTGGCTTGATCTATGTGGTTGATGGGCTGCAGACTCAGAAATTCTTGTAACTCCATGAGTATTGCTGCCACTGGCTGGAGTTTCTGTGCGAAAATTGCTGGTGCCTTCACGGGCTTGAAGAGCTTGGACTGCTAGCGTTTCGGAGGTCATCTCCAGGGAAGCTTCCTGTCAGTGCCTTAGAAATGACAAGTAGCACAACTAAACATGACGGAAACACAACCAAACCATGCCTGAAACGTACTAAAATCAGCTGATGACAGTTTTTCCAATTCGATCGTTTCTTGTTTCTACCACAGGAGAATGTCGTGTACTTCTGGGGCTCCAACTCCTGGAGTGATCCGAAAGGCCACCATTCGCCATTCACAGTGGAGCTGTTGGGGAAACTGCCGCACTGACTGAGTCCTGGACTTTGCAGGTGATACACCGTCGCCTGTTCTGACACTGCAGCGAAAGAGAATATGTCAGGACTGGCAGATGCCTCCGTTGCGAATTGTTGGAAAACAATTCGCAACTGTGTCGTTTGTGATTGCTACTGTTTTACTATGTTTTACTGTTTGTCCCTGGCAGATCAGTGTCGGCAAAGAGCATGCAGTTGCTCTGACAGAAGGTGGCAGGATATTCGTCCCTTGATTTGAAGCTAGATCTTCTACGATTTCCATGGCCTTCTTGTTATTTTTATATTTACTTAGTCTATTTCGTGGATCTGAACCCCGACTGTCTCTGGCACGGTCTTAGGCCTGGGGCAAGAACGACTTTGGTCAGCTCGGAACAGGTGACGAGGACTGGCATGGCAATGCGCAGACGGATGCTTGAGACTGGCTGATGCGCTTGCAGTATTTTGCAGTGCTTTTGGCACCACAAGTATCATCGTAATATATCTTGGAATCTTGGAATCTTGGAGGAAAATCGCGCTCTTCCATCGTGTTTCCCTTAGTTTCAAGGCTGCGCTAGCCGGTTGGAGTTGGCACAACCTGGCACAACCTTGGACAAGGTACACGGAGCTTCCATACGAGACTTATATCTCGCAGATAGCAGCTGGAGGCATAGACGAACAGACAGCTTGCCAAAACAGAGAGCAGGTGGCTTTAGTGGATGTTGTAGGTCTGGATTTCAGGATTGCTCCAACCCATGATAGGTGAATTATATCCACAAGCGAAGAAAATTGATCATGTTACCATTGTTGCCTCTTTAACTAGCCATTTCTGGGGTGGTGGGAGCAAGCCAGTATTTTTGCAGTTATTGCTTTGCTTCCATCCTGCTTGAACAATACCCTAGTTTTGCACTGCTTGTCTGCAGCTTTCCACTTCTTGTAGCAGGCAACTACACCATCGGTGTCACAAAGCGGGGAGATATCTGGAGTTGGGGGCGATTCCAGGCAAGCTCTCCCACAACTTGCAGCTGTAGCACTATGACACTGTTGTTTGCACAACCGCTTTGTTTTTAGGAGATCTCGGCATCGTGTTGGTGATATCAAATTATATCTGGGACATATTTTGGATATGCTTAGGCTTAGGATCTGGAACTTTCACTCTCTTTCATCTCCAGATATCTCCAGAGCACCTCTTTCAGAAAGGCCTCCAACTTCCCAAGAATGTTCACAGAGACCTGGCAAGATACTCAGATGGAAGGGTTCAGTCTGAAGTCTTCCGGGTTGTGAATGTATACTGCAGACCAGTGAGTAACATAGGCTAACAATGAATGTCAAACTCTGTGCCCTTTCAGGTGCAATGGCTATGAAGCCAAAGGAGAGATGGGCTTGAAGGAGTGGGTTGGCGCTGTGAGACGCAGCAAATATTGCGTTGGGAGAGTGGCCTCTCAATGAGAGGTTTAGCATGATGTCTGTGACATTTACATGTATCTTGCATGTACTCACATGTGTACAGACACAAACATTTAAATACACCTGAAAATAGCCTGATGCAAAAACTGTGCAAGAAGTGCATCCTCTCGCAGGGACACATAGATGTTCCCTTGCAGGGTCTCAAAATTGTTCGTGTTTCAGCTGGCGACCAACACATGGGCGCGCTGACGAAGGAAGGAAAGGCAGGATTGCTTCGGTGCAACAAGGAAGTTATACCGTTTTGCCTTCGAAATTTCACATGGTGCTTGAAGTCTTCTTGTTTTGTGCATCACTTTCTTTGTTTGGTGCAGCTCTACACATGGGGCTACAATGATTTTGGCCAGCTTGGACTTTGCCTCAGCAGCGTGTGAACTCCAACACATGCATGTTCAAAGACAGGCAGTCTCGTTGTGCCGAAATGCTCATTCTGGAGCTGTCAAACATCACACACGAGCAGATTGACCTTGCTGCTTTGCCTGAACTCGGGATAATTCAAGTGATTTCAATCCCAATTGCAGTACGACCCACTTGGAAATCGAGTATCAGCCCTCTTGGTCACTTTTGTTGTAGTTCTGTACTTCCTTGAGACCAGGCTGGGGCTTGCATGGTGAGGGAAGAGTTGGGCAGCAGAGACCGAACCAGGCTGGGACTGTTGCTTTCGGTTAGAATTCTGTCTGAGGGCATGACAGCACAGGCAGGCAAACTTTGTCAACAACACGGTGAAACAAACCGTTTCCCAAAATGACACCCTAACCGTTCCTAACCAACCCTCCAGGTCAAAGGTTTGCTCGAAAGTGAGGAAATCATTGATTTTGCTTGTGCGTTGCTCAGTCGTTTGCGTTGCCAGATATGCCAGACACAACAACCGAGGTTTGTTCACGGTCCATAGCACGCCATCATTGCACACGCACTATTCATGCTCAGGTGGAGGTGGTCATACAGTGGCTATCACCAAAAGCTGTCGAATTTTTGGTCGTGTTCTCAGCCAGAAATGTCAGCCCGGATTTTTGGGCAATTGGCCCGGATCCAATTGGCGGAGGCTTTGGATCAAACACAAATGGACAGTCTGGGACCCAGCGCTCGACAATGTTTCTCCATGTTTCTCCATGTTTCTCCTGTCTCAAACCAAAGATATCAAAGATGCATAGCAAGGAAATGCAAGGACATGCAAGGACAGGGGTTGGTCTGAGTTTTGGCAAGGCTAGGCCATGCGATGCGGCAATGCTTCCCAGAGCCGGCTGGCATCTCACATCGTGGGGACTTGTCGGTCTTTCAGGTTGCTATGAGACTGCGCCATGGATTCAGGAAAGATGTGCAAAAGCAAAGTTTCAATCCATGTTGACATGATGACGTGTGCCTCAGGTCGAAATTCCATTGGGTGATCCTGTCTCAAAGGTGCGTGCCGGCTGGCAATGTACAGCAGACCCCTCGGCTGCAGAGTGAGAGATCGTTAGAACTCATGAATGTGCAGCAGACTGGTGGCAGCAGAGACATGCAAACTGGTAGATTTGAGAAGCGATGCATAGCTCTTGCAGATCTTGCAGTGGAATATGCTGTTTGCTAAGTTTGCTTGAGGCATACATCACCGAGAGCGCTCGACCTATCATTTGCGGCGGCATCCGTGCTGAGGCCCCTGCCTGGCCCTGCCCTTCATTGTGGAGTTTGACATACTTTGAGTGTAGAAATTGAAAAATCATTTGGATTTGACTGATTTGACTGTAGTTTGCAAACCATGGATTTGAACCCTGCAGGGCCCAAGTGTGTCTGACATGCAGCAAGCAGCTTCCTGAGCTTCATTCTTGAGCTTCTTGAGCTTCCTTGTGGCATTGCACGTTGCAGTGCTGCCGCTGGTAGAAAACATTGCACCATGCACCAAGGGTGGAGAGGATGGTGAGGGACCAGCGCCCGAGATGTCCAGAGGTGGCTATGGCGGCGGTCCGCAACCAGAGGCAGCGCAGCGGTTGGCACTGGGAGATGCTGAACCCGGAACCCGTGCTGAACAGATTCACAGATTCACAACTTGCGTCTCCCAGTTGTTTACATCTTGCGTATCTTGCGTATCTTGCGTATCTTGCGTTTGCATTTGAAGAAAAGACCGCAATCTCGCTTTCTCACGACTTAATCCATTGCTTGACGGAGGCTCCTCCTATAGACAATTCGATTGTATTCATTGGTCCTTAGATGTTCTTAGTTGCTCTGCTTCAAGCTTTGGGCTTGACTGGAGCCGGCCGAGAAATTGCTTGGCAGGCTGGTGTGATGGACATGGTCAGCACCACTGGTGTTGAAGTGATGACTGAAGTCGTCACTGAAGCATCGGTTGGAGAGGCAGCTTTGATCTGCCTAACCTTGAGATTCATCCTAAATATTTTGAATCATTATTGAGCTTGTACTCAACGCAAATGCTTGCTAAATTCGTGGGTGGACTAGTGTTTCAGTGCGAGGCACATGGAATCCTTGTGTGCTATGCGGTGAGCTCAGTGTATTTTCTTTGAAGTACCAGTACTTTTTATGAATCATTTCCAGCCTTCTGCCAACTTTGGATAGAACTGTGTCAGTAAGGACGGCACCTTGCGCGGCTGGGGGTCATGTCCTGAGTGGTGGGGTTGTGATTGTTGCGCTTGTCTTTCAAAATAACCACAACGTGATTTTGCAATCAGATCGCAATCATTGGTGTTTCAGGATCACTCTAGGGTGCCAAGGGCTTGGACTTTTGTACATGGCCACATGAGTCACATGAGGTACAACCGGCAGAAGCAAGCGATCGGCGACGAGACAGACGACACTTTTGTGAAGCCGCAGGCAGTCGATGACATACCATTTGTGTGGAGCCAAGGGGGTCTTTGAAACTGAAAAGCAACCGACGCGACCGAGAAGCGACCGAAGCGACCGACGACTGGAGAGCTTCACGAATCGTTCGTTCAAAGGACGCCTACAAGGGGCTCTCTGTTGCTGTTGGTGGAGCTCAGAGCTATGCCATCATGCAACCGCGAGCCTAGTGTGACATTCTGAGCTCCCTTACACTGCCACAAAAAGTCGGGCTTGGAGACTAAAACTGAGTAGATTTGGCATATATAATTTGGCCTCTTAAATGTATCATGATGTATGATGATCTAAGGTGACCGGAACTGGACCTGAAGCCGCACTCGCTTCAATGAGCGTGTCTGCGTGCTCTTGGATTGTGCAGTGTCAGGCAATGCTCTGGTGGTGCTATCCAAGGGGCAGTCATGCAAGAGAGACACCTCACAATTTTTAAGGACCTACGCATACTAAACCCACAAAGAATTCTAGCCTCATAGTAGTTGTGTGGCACCAAACATGAGCTTTGCGCTCCAAGTGACCAGACAGAGTCTCTGTCCATCAGAAACCTGCTTGCATTCAAAATCAAAAGCGGCAGACCTGCGCTTCAGGCTTGTTTGGAGTCCACACACACAAGTTATGTATGGACATTTCAGAAGTGATTCGACACCCATCCAATTTGTCATGTGCCATATGTATCCATATGTTTGAATTCTTGCTACCTGCTACTGTATTGGTACAAGTTTGTCTCTGTGCATCTTGGAGACGTTCCCAGGCCAATGTGTGCAAATGAAGCATCAGTAGTATGTAAATCAATCAATCCCCAGCTTTTTGATTCCTCGAAGTGGCGTCAGGATTTGACTGACTTGTCTTTTTTTCCACAATGTTTCTTGATCGCACATAGGAAAGATACATTTGGTGAAATCTTCAATAGTCATCAATGGTCTCGTTGATCCAAGAAAGGTGATCCTTGGGGTGGAGCCATTGAGCCACGTTCTATCGTCGAGTTGTTCATTTTGAGTACGCGAGAGGCAATCAAATAACTTTGGCTATAGAAGATTCGCGCAACAAAAAACAGAGAGAGCCCTTTGCGCTGAAACATCTGCAATTGTCGTCCGACCAGATTTTTTGATCACAACTGGTATGTTGCTGGCTTGAAGCTAGGATCTCAGTGATCTCAGTGGCACATGAGGCAAAAGGATTCAAACCGACCATTAGCAATAGCCAGAATCAGATGATTCAGAAAAAAATCTTATTTGTACTAGGAAAAAACATCGAAAGACATTTGTAGTTTCGCCAGCAATCCCTACATTGCACATGATTCGGCTGGCGCAGAATTCCAAGCACACAGCTATAACGACTTGTAGAGAAGGTAGCCATGAAGTCAGATGTTGCGGTAATGTCACGATGAGGATCATCCAGGTGGGAGCACAACCGGTCATTGGATATCTGTCCATCATTGTCCATCTATTTCTTCAAAACTTCCAAACAGAGAGTATGCAGTATACAGCAGTATACAGCAGTATACAGCAGTATACAGCAGTATACCCTCTGGTAAATTAACATAGCTATTGAAAATGGCCATTTATAGTGGTTTTTCCCATCAAATATGGTGATTTTCCATAGTTATGTTAGTTTACCAGAGGGTACAGCAGTATCCAGCAGCTAAATATTCTAATTAGACAGCAAAATAGACAGCGAATCTTGACGACTTGGAGGTTTTCTCGGCGACCAGAGCGTGCAGCTGAATGGGTTCAGAGAAGCGCACCTGGCTGCTTCTGAAAGAAAGCGAAAGGTAGAGTCGTAGAGTAGAGAAGATTATATATATATTTTTCAGTTCAACTCAGTCTCTGACATTTGATCTTTCAGAAAGCTTTAGTTGCGAGTCTTCTTCTTTTGCCTGTCCGACACTTTCAACATCTTTCAACACTTTGTGGCTTGCATCAACCTTTTCACGTGCCAGGAAACCTTCTACTGTCGCACCAGCAAATGTCCATGGCTTAGTGGCTTAGAGGAAACCGCACTGGACATGAATGAGACTTCGGGCATTTCAGACAGTCTTTCGTTTCTAACTGCAAGAGACTTGAGTGCGAAGGTCGAAGTTCAAGTTGCACTGGAGGACTGCCTACAAGTTGGGAATCAAAAAAACTCGTTGATGACAAGCTTGCTGTGACAGTGGTTCAGCTTGCTGCAACGATCAAAGATCGAAGGCCATTTCTTTAGGCACTTTAAGGCACTTTTTGTCTAGTTTGCAAATCTATTTTATCGGAATTGTTTTCCGTACACTGACACTAAAACAACTTGAAAATTCAAGCAACTTCCGTCAGTCAAACACGTGTTCCCACAGATACACTAAGCCGCAACTAAGCCCTCTGCTGCTTTGTGAAGTTTTTTCTGCAGGAGTCGGCGAAGGACGCCAAAAGTGCATCATGTGCATCAAAGATCATTGAAGAGGCACGATCCGTGTTGATCCGCATCGATCCGCATCGATCCGTCGCCCTTGGTCTCACCATGTCTCACCATGTCTCATCTTCGATGTGCAGGAGGCGCAACCGAAAGGACACCTTGTTGTTCGGAGCCTGGCAACGTGCTATGAATGCCTTGGAAAGTTGCTACAACATGATGCGACTGGAACCGACTTGCAGGTCTTTGTGTGCTCCGACGAATTTGAGATAGCATGCGGCTGTGCGATCTGCTATAGCGTCTTTGCCGCTCCCTTAGCAACTTAGTCATCTAGGATTTCAAAGCTTGCAAAGCATCACAATCATCACAATCTCACAAGCCAAATGCTGTTTGTTTTAGTTTGAATATGTTTGAATTGTGACTTTCCAAGGTGATCTGCTTGCAAACTGATGCAGTGGATGCACCGTTCTTCATCCAGTTCTCGGAAAGCCTTGCCTTCTGCTTGGTGTCATCAGTATGTGACTCCCAGAATTTCTTTCGATAACGAGATGCTGTGCAAATGCACAATGCTGATGAGGTGACGGCATTCTTTCTGCTTGAGTGGATATTGAGAGTGGCTGCATTTGGCCGAAAATGGTTCAAGGATCGCGAGATAGTTTTACTTTCAGAGACTGGCCTTGGATGATATGCTCAATGCTACTTGCGCTGCTTGCACTTGGTGTTTCAGCAGTTGCATCTCCACCCAAAAGCACAGACACTTCGGTTCCAGGGCTTTCAAACCCTGCTGGACACCTTTATAGTTTGGTGTCCTGGAGTTGTGGTGGTGTGGGCCCGCCCTACATGTCTTGAAAATTGCTCCAGTTGAAGTCAACTGCTGGTTGCACGCAAGCGGCAACTGCCTCAAATCCCATCATTGCAGATCATGCAGCCACTGAACATTGAGGAAAATATGCCATCACCTCAACATGCTGTTGGTGAGTGGGCTTTATTAATCTCAACGGCTGCTGTTCCGATTCTCTTTTATTTCTGTTGCAGTTCCAAGGAGTGACCTCTTCAAATTCTTTCGAATTGCCCGGATGCTTCGTTTTGTACAGCTGGCCAGAGCCTTGTTTCGGCAAGTCCGCAAAAGTGCCGCGCAAATCAGCCCGTCTCATCCATGAGCTTGAACACAGGTTAGAACCTTCAAGCATGTTGCTGCCTTCGAGGATTTGTGGAAGTCCTTGCCTCTTGTGTCCATCAGTTTTGGCACCAATGGAAGTACAGGATTTGAATGGATTTAAATACTGATACCCAGCCCTTGCTTGGCTTTTGTGGATACTTTTGTACTAATTATGACTTGTAGACATCACATTGTGGCAAACGTTGTGTTCGGCAGAGGTTAGTGCGTGGATTGGTGAGCAGTGGAGGCACTCTACTTTCAGGCACAGCTCACCCAACAAAGTCATCACTCGGCATGGTACCGTCATGAAGCACATGGGGTTCTCTCAAAATTGTGAATTTCAAAATCCGATGGTTTTTCATCATTTTCGCCTTACAATGGCCACTTTGCGGTATCCCGCATTCACAGAGTTTGTGCTTTACACAAGCAAGACTACATGGATACTCGTTGGAGAAGCCTGCGATGATGAAACTGGATTCATGGGCCACTTAACTTGGGAATTGTTGACGATGCTCCTTTGCTTGCCCAGCAATGAGCCTGATCGTCTTCAACCTCTACGTTTTTGCCATCTTTTGCTGCGAATTGCTTTTACCTCAAAACCTGGAAAGCGAATTGCTATGGTAATTGTGGGAATGCAGCTGTTCTGACCTTTGCACCAAGGATCGGTTTCCAAGAATTCAGTGCAGAAGCTTCAGATGCTGCAAAGGAAGCACAACAGCGATTCAAAGGCAGCCCTGCTTCTGTTTTGTTGCTGTTTTTGGCCAGAAGCTCGATGTCATCGCCGTCCGATGTCCGTTGATTCCATTGATACAGATGACATCGATTGGAATCTGACGGAATTCTGCAGGAATTAGCCAATCGATGTTGACCCTCACGAGATTCATGCATGGAGATGACTCGCAGGGTATAATGGCCCGGTGCTCAGATTCCTTTCACATACATGCAGATTGAATCCGTTTGATGCAAAGATTGTTGGAAAAACCGTAGTACTAAACCACCGACACACTTTGAGCAGAAACTCGGGACACCCTTTTGCACGCACACAATGTGGTGAAACAACAAGCAGGCAGACTGCCTTGTTGTGATTTGGCTGATTGCAGAATGCCTAGCGTCATCTTTTATCGCATTGTTCAAGGATGATTTGGTGGAAGAGTTGCCGTACATTTGGTTCATCTGGCAAGTTTATGCTGGAACAAGCAGCTGTACCCTGGACAGCTATGGAGAGAAAGGGCTTGTCCCAGCTTTGAACGGGCCAAAACAGGATCTTTCTGTGGCTGTTCACAGCGCTGTCCTCCTTCGTACTGCTGAACCTGGTGACAGCTGTCATCGTTCAGACAGGAACTCAGGAACTCAAAGCTCTGCAAACATCTGCAGTCAAGCTTCGCATCTCCCAAGATCCGGGCAATTTTTTCAGCCTTTGAGGATCAGAATCTGAGGCAAGCAATGGACATGTCCAAAGGTGACGAGAAAGAGTCCACTTGACTGCACTACTGCACTATTGACTGCGCTGACTGCATTTCTGCATCTGGTGGGTGTAGCCACTGCCTCTTTTCTCACGCTTCCAGGCTGGCCATAATACGGAAAAGAGAACAGGATCGCGAGATGAAAGAACTGGCTGAGCTTCTTCCTCAGCGGGGTGCAACCTGGGTGCAACCTGCAGAGTTTTCTGTGTTGGTGTATTCAGATTTCGAGAGGACGCCTGTTGATGCTTGGTGAAAGAAATTTCGAGGATGTTTCGTGAAATTGATGAAGATGGTAGTGGCATTGTGAGCATAGCAGAGTTCGAAGAGGCGCGCCATACAGACCATTTCCATTGCAAGATTTGTACTTCGACTTCTTTATGCCTTGTGCCACTAGGGATCCTGCTATTTTGCTTTCCCTTCTGTGCCCCTGCGTGCGATTCCGTCGAGGAATGGAAGATTATTTGGACTTGGATTTTGCACACATGGTCTAGTACACTGGCATCGTTCTCTGTTTTCATTAGTCATAGTCCCACTTGGGCATTCACAATACATCAAGGGCTGGCAACCAGTTGATACATGTTGATACCACCAATGAAGCAGACATTTTGATCATTTTGCCAGGCGCTAAAGGATGAAACCATCCTGGGCAAATTTATGATGCTTGGGCTCAAATCTCAGAGACCCGCTGCAACTGGGATAACTGGGCATCCTTCGGGATTTGGCGCGGGCGCTGGCGGCGCTTGGGGATCGAGGTTGAAGAAAGACCAAGCCATGGAGCTTCGCATTGCTGGACACTGGTGGAGAGGAACGCTGAAGAGATTCGATATGTTTCGATATGTTTTGATATGTTTTGATGTGATTCTATGCTGTGCCGGGGCGTTTCTTCATGGGGCTGGCTTTCAATGCCCTGGTGTTGCAGGGAGAACTTGACCTCTCGGAGTTCATGCAAGGCTTGCGTCTCGGAGTTTCACGGAGAACTGGACAGAAAGCGTTTGATGCAAAGGCTTCTGGCAGGCTTTCTGTACAAGATCCATTCATATTGCCAATGTTTGCCAATATCCATTTACAGAAAAATATCATTAGGTAGTGGCAGGGATTAGATGCGGTTTGACACTGCAATCCATAACATTTGCGCTAGCAGCTCAAGCATATTCCAGGCATGAGCCAGCTGAAAGGAGTCGCCAAGAACAAGGTACCTTGCAACACATAGAATCTTCTGGGGTTGGTCAGTAGCTAGAGCTTTCCCATGCGGCAGGACTTGGTGATGCTTGTGAAGGGCATTGAGCGGCTTGGAAAAGGAATTACAAGGACAGCTTGCAGCCTGCAGCCAAGTCTTTCCCTTCAGAGATTTTGGCTGGACCGACATGGACATGAATAGACTATGATAGACTTTTTGAATCAAGATGAATCAAGTATTCTTGTGGACTGAGATTCAAAGCCTAAGACTTTTGGATTGTGATAATCTGTGATCATTGTCCCGTCTCGGTCCGAAGCTAAGACATCGATGAGAGGATGGGTGAAAGCATGGGAGTGCATGGTCTACAAGATGATGACCAGGAGGCTTGGGCGATGTTGTCGAGGTGTCACTTTTTAAACCAAACCCTTTAGCCTTTTCCAATGTCACCCTCTTATCCCACTCTGATAGTGAACTCTGTCGGCTCATATCATGGCATCCTGGGTGATCCAGGACTTCCTTTTTACATCAGAGAAACCTTCTGAAGATCACAGCTATATTGGCTCAGTCACAGGAGATTCCAAGCAAAACATCCATGGCATCAAACAGCAAACGCAACGTCTCCAAAGAGCGACTACCCACCCTGAATTATGCTTGGAGTCACGACATGAGGATTCCGAAGAAACAGTCTTGGATTTGCTATCAAAAATCAATGAATCAAGAAAACAGAATGGAGTACAGTCTAGAGTCCATAAATGTCCATAATAAGTACAAGTGATAGCTCCATTTCAAAGAGGTCATGAACTTGTACCCAGGACTCTTGCTCGGTTGTCAGCCCACTTGTGCATCAAGCAATGGCTCAAAGCCATGATGCAACCCAGTCAGAACCGCTGAGATCTTCCTGCCCGTTTCTGGAAGAAGAGGCTGAGCTGGCACCGCTTAACGCTGCTCAAGTCCTGAAAGAAATTGAAGAACTGATGCCAAATTTCGAAAGCAAAGCTAGTCAGCTAATAAATTATCGAAGAAAAGAACACCTGTTCAGGCCTGTTCACTTGCCTTTCATGGGCTGTAAGAACCACAGCTAGCGAAGCTCCAGCAAAATTTGAGAGTTGGAGCAGTCGCGCCCTGGTAAACCCAGTGTACTCACCTAATAGTGCTGTCAATGTCTTGCTGCACAGGCGCGGCGGCGTTTGCCATATGACGTCAGCAAGGCAGTCTACTTGGAGGTACAATCCAATGAGGAGCGGGTTCCCTGGTTCACTGCCATGAAAAATGTCAAATTTATAGCGCTGCACCACGATCTGTGATCTTAGGAGCCGCTCTTCAGCTACATGTTGCGCTTCGTGAGTAAATCTGTCCCTTAGAAGCATGCAGCCTCCATTCTCTCAAGGCAGCATGCGAAGAGAAGGTCGCAGGGGATTTTAGCACCCTGACTTCGGGAAGCTTGGTGCAATCCACCTGGCCCGAATTTTGAAAACCGTGTCTCAAAAAGAGCCGGTTTTGAAAGGCATTTGCCACGGGACATATGTTGGAAGGGGCACCCAGAAGCAAGGTGCAGGATGCAAGGAGCATTCGAGCGGACATGGGCAAGGGAAGAGGTCTTGGCGCAACTTTGACTGCACTAGTAATGCATCAGTGTCATTTTCATCGCCGGCAAGACTAGACGCAAACACAAAGCACAGAGTCTATTCCTTCCATTCCTCTCTTGTGGTGTTTCGACTGAGGCTGATGATGACGAGATCGATGATCTACTGGTCATGGTCAAGGGCAAGGGCAAGGCCATGGGTTGACTGCGATTTGAGTTTTTTCTTTTCCCCCTAGCCGCCCTAGCCCGCTGTTTTCTGCGGCAGGTTGGCGGTGCCAGCCGAAAGCGAAAGCGGGAAGTCCAGATGCCTTCGGCCAACATCGGCTTGGGCTCCTCGATAGGATGGGTTTGGATGTGCCAAAACGCTCCGGATGTTTGGGATGTTCAGGACCATTGCAAAACACACACGGTTCCCCAATCGAAGTGCACGCTTTGCAGCTCAAAAAATGAAGGAACAGTTCGGAACAGCTTTGAGACTCAATGAAGATATGTTTTGGAAATTATGGTCAAAGAGTGAACCCTGATAATGTTTTCTTATGTTTTCTTGGCAGATTAATTTTCAAAGGTCAGCTGAGTCAGCTGGGTCTGTTTCCCACGCCCTAAGGCTGGCATTCCTTCGACTTCACTTGGGATGAGAAGACTGCCAAGATCACGATAGTTCTGCAGCGGATTGGGAACCCAACAGGCCGCCGTCGTCCCTACCAGAATCGTTGAATGCATCTCGAGGAAAACACAACAGGGATTTCAGATGAACACACATTGCTTAAGACGCATGCTTCGGGGCTTCCCCGGAACCTGTTATTTTGTTTCTTGCTCTTGTAGCATGGTAAAACTGCAAAGACATAAGACAAGGTCATGAGAAGGGGAAAAGGTGGCGCAGACCAACCGGCAGTTCAGACCCCGAGGAAAATGGTCAACCTAAGTTGTCAGGTGACGGCCCATCCTTCTTCACTTCATTGGTGCTTTTTGCAGAAGGACCTGACCAAACACCCTTGCTGAAAATTTGCCAGAAGGCGGTCTGACTGTTTTATTTACTGGACGTATCGAACAATTCTTGGATGAAACAATGAAACGGTGAAACAAGAAAAAGCGTGATGCCTTCTTCTCGGGCCCCTCTTGGTTTGCCACAAGATGTGTGAACACCATTTTTTCCGTGATTAACATGATGATAAAAGGCTAAAAGGTTTGTTTCCTTCTGATGATTGAACACCAGAACGCTATGTTACGTTGAGGACAAAATGTGTTTTCAAGTATCTAGGTCTGTGGAGAATTCCACGCAGTACTGCCAAGTATGATTTTTCTTGAGGCTGCAGACAACGAAACCAAGCAGAAAGCGCAGATGTCTCAGTTCCGTCACGGTCAGAATCAGAGTTCATGCGCGGCTAGACATTCCAGTATCGCAACTGGACGTCAAGTATATTAGTTTGGGTCATTTACAGTACAGCACTGCAATCCATTGCTGTTGATTTTTCTTAAGTGGAAACATGATCATCCGCACCACAAGGAATCGCGTATCCCTGTGGAGATTTGACACCAAGTATCACTTTTGGTCGCGAATCTCAAGACGAATGGCTCGTAGTCTTGAAAGCATTGTTCTTGAGGAGAGTGTCTTGGCCAAATCCCAACAGTTTGCTGTTTTGGAGCCGTTCGACATCCCAAGCTGATAGTAACTGTTTTGTTTTTTGTCGCCATAGGTGTGAAGAAGCCGCTGATGGATGACCTGGAGTGGTTCTTGAAGGACGAGACTCGCACATTCTATGCCAAGCACGGCATTCCATACCATCGCTGCTATCTACTGCATGGAGAGCCCGGAACTGGCAAGACCTCTTTCATGAACTCAGTGGCTGGACACATTCAACGCAACTTGTGCTTTATCCAAATGGACAAGCACATGACTGATGATACTTTTAGCCCCTCGGTCTTTCAAATGGTATTTGGTGGTCCAGTGAGATTGACATGATGTTTTTGTATCTATGAAATGGCTTTCGACTAAATCCTGTCAGGGCTGGGTCTTTTGTAAGGGACTGCAACTGGAGGGAAGGATTGACGGCTCATTTCTAGTGACGGGCGCTTAAGATCACCTGGCAGTGCCAGCCTTGAGTGTGCAAACGAGACTCTGCCATTGTATGAGCTCAAAGTAGAGTCAGTCGCGATTGCAAATAAATTGAGGGCCTCTGAAAACCTTGGGAACTGCAAAGGCTGTCTGGTTGAACCGACTTGTCTTGACTCATTCTGTTCTGAGGAAACGCCATGACACAGCTTCCAGCTCTCTCCATGGTAGTTCTTGAAGATGTGGATGCACTCTTCACAAACCACCGTGAAGCAGATCAGAACAATTCCTCCTTGTGCCTTGAATGCCGTGGGGCATTGTGTGGACAGCTTTTTGGACAGCTTTTACTGCTATTCTTGAAACTGACAGCTGCAAACTACCCGTTTGGAACACCCCACGTATTGGCGGTGATTTTCAGGTCCTTCAGTGGATTCCTCAACTGCTTGGATGGGTTGGGAGCTCCTGATGATGTTGTCATTTTTATGACAACTAATCATCCGGACAAGTTGGTGCAGATCTCAGTTGTCTGGAAAGATCTAGAAAGACTTTAACTGTTGATGGAGGTACGACTTCAATCAACATCAAAGATACTTTGCCAGTTGGACAGCTGCACGGTAGATCGTTTCCACATTTAGAACGCTTTCGCCTTCTGCAGTGACATGCGGTGGCTTGCCAAGGACCCTGCTGTCATGCGGCCGGGAAGAATAGACTTGAAGGCAGAGTTCAAGAAACCGAACTTTATCTGCAGAGTTGCCACGCTACTAAGGTATGAGTCTAACCCTTGGTACCCTCTTCTGAACACCAGCTGAGTCATCAGTTGGTAAATCGATCTTCATCCCCAATGGTGCAATAGCCATTGATCCACTTTTTTTTCCTGAAAGCTCCAACAAAGACTGGCGCGCGCAAGTTGGTTGTAACCGCGGTTTGTGCGAAACCACCTGGTGTGCGAGGCTGGTTGTGCACTGTTTCGTTGAAGCGTGAGTCACCCATGGACCCAAATCATTGGAGCGACCTGTTGTGGCTCAAGGTCGTGGCTGGCTACAACAGGAGCTAGCATCAAATCATCTGTTATCAGATTATCATCGTTTTTTAAAATCCTTTTTTGGTCTACTCCCTCCTGCTTTCTTTTGGGCCACACTGTCGTCTTGTTGTTCATGGTTATACATGCTGTGCCATCAATGGTTGGATTTGTGGATGTCATTTGTGAGTTTCCCATGGAGATGCCACTGAGGAACAAGGACGTGGCCGCCAAGTACTTCCTGACCTTCTACCCTGGAGCTGATGAGGCTGCAGCAATCTTTGGAACTTCGGTAGGCAAGGTCTGGGCCGGCCACCGATCGAATGATGCCAAGCCGGTGGCATGTCTTGGCATGTTGTGGCATGTGCGTCCCTCAGGCGGACGCATTGCTGAACGAAAGGTGTCCCGGCCAAGTGGAGACGACGGAAGCATCTCGAAGCTGTAGTTTGTCATGTCAATGTATCGTAAAAAGTACCATGATGTACCATGATGTACCATGGTTCAATGGTTTATTGATTTGTCCCAGGTCTCCATGGCGCAGCTGCAACACTTCTTCCTGGCATGTCATCGCCAAGGCTTTGATGCCACGAAGGCCTGGGTCCCAGAGGGTTGCAGAGGGTCCCAGCACAATGCTGCTCTGCTTCTGGCTGAATTTACGGATGTATCAAATTGTATCAATTCATCATTTTTAATGTATCATTAGTATCATTCATTCAATGTATCATGCTCAATCATTCAACCATGATGAATCTATAATGGTTCTATCCCACCCACATGAGGCTTCAGAGTACATCTGCGACTTTGTCTTTGATGAGCCCAGAACATCGCTCTTCTCTTCCTATGGATGAGAGGCCCGGTAGTCAGATCTTCGCTTTGGCCAGGCTCCGTGCTTGCTTCGGGCTGTCATGAGTTATGCCGCAGGATATTTATTAAATACATTTAAATACCTTCTTTAAGAGAGGTTCTTTCTGCATGAGATAGATCCTTGTGCAGTGACGCATTTTTGCTGATGCCAGGTGCCATACCGGAATGCAGCTGCGAGCTGGCATTTTGAGACGTGCGGCCATGTGCTTCTCACTTGACTGGTCTGGAGAGAAAAAACACAAAGACCCGCTTGCTTCACAACTCTCAAGAGAAAACCAGGATTGCCCAGTTGGTGTCCTCCAGATGCTGGGTGAGATATGGTGAGATATTTGGAGGGCTGCGAGCTCTTCCAACTCACCTTGAGAGTAGGATGCCATGGCTATCATGGCTGGCTTTTAGAGGTGTGAGTCTTGGCCAAGTACAGATAGCCATGAAGTGCGGCGCGGCTACAAAAAGGGAGAGGGCCAGTGTTAATTGAAAGATATAAAAGTAACAGTATATCGTATATATATATATAGTATATACCATCTCAGTATTTTTTGGCTCTTTAAAACTTTACTATTCCTGGTGCACCTTGCAGAGTTTTTAGATGGCAGGAACCCAAACTCCGAGAGCGAGTTGTGTCCCTTCGAAACAAGCTGCGAGAGCGCTTGCAGAAGTCCGAGGCCTTTGCTGGTCACGTGTTTTTCAAGGGTTCAATGGAATTGCCATAGGTATCCACTGGCATCAGAACCATTGGTAATCCATTATAATAATTTATTATAATATAGTATCCATTGTAATCCATTGGTATCCCATCCACGGGCATTTAGATCTATTTAGAATCCATTGGTATCTGTAATGGCATCCATTGGCATCCATCAGAACCATTCCACCAGGATGGTTTGCAGCGTTTCTCCGCCCGGATGGACAAGATGCAGCCTTAGCATTTCCACCTGTGACGGAAGTCGTACATTTTGCAAGTTGGTCATAGCTGCCATAGCTATTTGGCCAAATTGGTCTAGTTGACATGCGCGGGCTGCAAAACATGAACAGTCAATGAGCGTTCCTGAGGATGGCAATTCAGGCTGAGGTGCCCTGTGACCCAATTCTTGTGATGGTAGTGGCATGTAGTGACTGTAATCCATCAGCATGACATGGTTTGTTTATATAGGCTGATCGCGGGCTTGAAGTCATTGAGAAGTTTCCAAACCTCAGACGGTTGTTGAACCAGAGGCTGCGATCAGAAGAATCAAAGAAGGTGGGAGATTTTTTGCCAAGTCTGCCAAGTGTCCAGAAGGGCAAGAGTCAGAAATGGGGCTTCCTTGACTCATTTGGGTTTGTCATGGTTTGTCAAAAAAAACAAGGGGAGACATCCCAAATTGCCATTTTGACAGGCGGGGCTCCTCCCAGCCGCAAGGTGCGGATGCTGATGGGAATCAATGGGAATGGCCAATGGAAATGGCTGGAGTGGCTGGAGTGGCTGGAGGCCGAGGAATTTTCCAGAAGTAAGTCCAAAGACCAACTTTCCGAGAGGAAGGCCTGGCTTCGCATTTCTGTTGTGCTAGACTTGGCTCATTTGAGCATTGAAGCCTTTCAACCTATTTATCAGGCTAAGAGTCCGGGCAAAAAAGAGCGATCGAAGGCACCTGATAAAGCAGACATCTTTGAGTACTGCTGATATGGCGTGATTGTTTGTTGCACTGTATTTGCCGTTGGATTGGTTCTTCGGACGATGAAGTCACAGAAACACTGAGGATAGAGAGGCTACTAAAGAAGACAGAGACAAGGAATCAAAGGAACCGAAGGAATCCAAGAGGAGGGAAAAGGAACCGAAGGAAGCGAAGGAAGCGAAGGAACCTAAGGAGAAGGAGACAAAGGAGAAGGATTTGAAGGATTCGAAGGGCGAAGAAGCCGAGGAGCCTGGCGGGGAAAGAGAGCCCAGAGAAAAGTCTGAGAAGGACAGTGAAGACAGAGGGCAGTTTGCTTTCTGCTTCATCTTTGCCTCATGGCACACTTGTGAGATGCACCTTGGAGATTCAGACCGCGTGAAATTCTATTGCGTGGATGAATCTGGGGCAAACGTTGATCCTTTGCAAGATGCTTCAAGCAGGATCCTCACGAAAAGAGAGAGAAGAAAGAGCGGAAGGACAGTTTAGCCTGGAAGGCTGATATTATTTGCAGCTCTCCAGAAACTGCATAAGGAATTGGGACAGGAGGAACCCTTTTTCTACTATTCTACTACCTATAGAGTGTCTCAGGCAGCTTAAGGCCAACCTCATGCTGCCTGCTGGGTCGGAAGAAGCAGCGTTTGGTGGAGTGCTCCTGATGGGTAGGTTCGTCTGATCTTGATTATACTAGGACTAGGATAAGCTGGCAACCACCATGTCATCAAATCCCTTTGCCTGAAACACCATCTTAGGGTTTCATGCCGCTGAACGCACAGGAGAGGCGGAAGAAGAAAAAGGATGATGCAGAGGTGCATCCCCTCAGCTGTGGTCACTTTGTGCCAAGAGCATTTTGCAGGTCAAAACTCATTTGATCTCATTTGATCTCATTTGATCTCATTTGATCTCATTTGATCTCATTTGATCTCATCATCCCATTAATCATCCCATTAACCATCCATCAACCATCATGTTTCGAACATTTTCGAGCTGCTTCGAAAGTGGAATTGCGATGCACCGAGCCCAGGATGCTGTCGATGATCCTGAAGCTTAAGGATCTGCTTAAGGCCACAACCAGATCTGTCCTTGTTGTCCTTGTTGTCCTTGTTGCTTTGCGAACTTTGCGGACTCTAACATCTCACCAGGCTCACCAGGCTCACCAGGTGCTCATCAAAGAGCTCCCAGCTGCCTTTTTTGCCGCCTTTTTATAGGCAGATTATGGCAGATACCTATGCATAGTCGCATGGCGTGACGATAATGCCGATTTCTGGATGCTTTTGTTTGATCCAACACCATCATGGTGCTGCAGCCTGGGTTTTGCAATGGGCTGTAGCATCAGGATGCATGTGTGGATTGCATTTGCTGCCTAGATACTTTTTACAAATGGCCATATATGTATACTGTATAGTTGACTAGGTCTTGAAGCGTGATTTCATGTGAGTTCCTATGTTTGTACAGAACTTAGCCAAAGCCCAACGAATCGCTATTGGCGATCCATTTGGCACAAACACACTTGTCCGCAAAGCGGACATGTTTGTGGAAGCAACACATATCAGCTCTTGCATCGTTGTAAAAAAGTGCTCTTCAGCTGAGTATTGCTGACACCGACAGTGACCCGCAATGTAAGATCATGTGCGATTAAAGCTCCACATCTCAAACCACTGAAAGGGACCAATACATGGACATAGACACAAACCACGCCCTAACAAACTCATCGTTGACACTTCCACCTCCCCACATCTGACAAGTATGTTATCGCTTTCTTCCGAGTGCAGCGATAACATGGATAACCTGACATCTTGTTTTTGTCAACTGTGCTGGACCATAGACTTTAAGCTGTCACCATAGATGGCATGGAGGCATGACTTCTTCCAAACTACTTGATGTTACGTGAACATACGTATTTGAACATCGTCAACATCGTCCAGGAGCATCGAATCCATCACATCGCAGTGCTTTCGTGGCTCCGCGGGGAGCGGCTAACGCGTCGCTGATGCCTCGGCGAAGTGATTCCAGGCGGGATCGGGATGCCAGTGGCAAGTAGTGGCAAGGTGTGAGCTTTCGACATTTCAGATGTGTAGAGATTTCAGATTTTAAAAAGATAGAAGAGAACACATCATGAAATTCATGAAACAGCCAGAGAAGCTATCGCATCGCTGTACCGCACTATGTCATTATGTAACAGTGTGCCGAAGCCGCACCAAGATTGACCTTTCAAAGACATTCGGGATCGCCCAGGCCTAGGTCACCGATGAAGTGTGAACTGACATGAACTGACACGATCTCCAGGAGCGACTCGCGACCGCGACGTGGAGCAGGAGGTTCACTGGTGATGAATGTTGAAACTAGTTGAAACTAGTTGAAACCATTGTCAACAGATCTGACACTTCTGCATTGCATGACATGTCAATTTTCTTGCACCGGAAAAATGTCCAAAATGGGATGGACTTTACCTTTCAACAGGTCGCCTTACAAAGCTTCATTCCATTTCTGAAGGCCGGGGCCGCTCACGCTCCCCACCACGCCGGTCCAGACGTGATGATAGTCGCGACAGGCACAAGCTGGATCTGCAATTGGTCAAATATGTGTCACTTTTACTGCAGGTGAACAGACTGCTGGTTTTCTGTGCTAATTCTGAATTCCCAAAGGGCCGCGATACTGCTTTGTTGTGTTGGAAATTCCTATTCAGGCAAACTACAGCAGTTAAATTGTTAAATGTATATAATATTACATATATATTATATCTAGTGGTGTCGAACGACACTCGTAGAGTAATGAAGAGGGGAAGTGAGCAACGTAATATATATTTCACCTGTTGCAGCCTTTTACCTTCAAGGGCAACCACCTGAGAACTCACCTCTTTCACCAGGTGGGGTGCTCAGGTGAGTCAGTCACCCCCCCCAGCTGATATGTGGCTGGGGGGTGGAATAGACAGGGAGCCGTGGTACCGGCTGCGGTTCCAGCAAGGCCAACTGGTGGAAGGCGCCATCCGCGATGATGCGGGACGAGCACAAGGCACTGCGCTGGTGCGAGTCTTGTCCCATGAGGCTACTTCCACCAGTGGGCACTTGTTCCAGGCTGCCTATGTATCAGCCTCAGACAGCCACTACCGATGGTGGATGACCGCGGGTGGTGGCAAGAAGTTGCAAGCCAGAGGCTGGTACCACAGCTGCGAGGGCAATGCGGCTGACTGCAAAGAGGTGAGGCCGAAGGTCACCATGATCCACTTTGAGAAGGTCAGGATCATTGGTCCGCAGGAGTGGGCCGCGAAGATCCCTGAGTGGGCCTTCAAGGGAGGCTGCCGGAAGGATGTGGAGGCCTTTGACGTGCAGCTCCAACAGAAGAAGCCTGAAAGAGGAGACGTGGTCCCCCTGCCATGGATCGCCGCGGGGCCCGATGAAGTGCAAGATGAGGACTCTGGGTCATCGGAAGATTCAGGGGATGATGATACTGCTGCAAAGATCAGGCGTCTCAAGTCCAAGCTGGCCAAATTGGAAGCCAAAGGCAAAGGAGACCCGAAGAAAGCCAAGAAGAAGAAGAAGCATAAGGGATCCCCTTCGAAGCCAAGGGGAGAGAAGAAGAAAAAGCGCAAGAGGAGTTCAGATTCACCCTCCCGAGGCAGTTCAGAGGGAGGAGAAGACATCAAGAAAAAGAAGAAGTCAAAGAAGGATAAGAAGGAGGCCACCAAGAGGAAGAAAAAGCGAGACGCCAGCGATTCAGAAGGCACTGCGGCCAAGAAGGCCAAGAAGAAGAGAGCTGAGGAGTCCTCTAGCAGCAGTGAGAGCGAGGTGGATGAGAAGTTATTCACCCCGGGCCCAAAAGAGGCTCAGGAGGGCGCCCTGCCGCCGAAGAAAGGAGATAGAGGGCCTTTTGGTGCAGGGCAGCCAGTTGACTTTAACTCCCAAGGATCCTCAGACACAGAAGGCGATCAAGTTTTTCGCGAAGCCCCCGTCCAGTCGTCAAAGAGCGGTCAGCAGGCGCTGGTCCTCTACAGCCACCGAAAGCCCGGGCGTTTAGCCGCGAGGCTTCTACTGAAGATGCAGAGCGAGGTGGCACTGGGCTCGACGGGGGCGACAACAAATCCGAAGGATCGGACACCTCCAACGGCGACTCACTACTTCCTCACCATCATGGCTCCGCAGCTGGGAAGCAGGATGAACCTTCGAACCCAGCGAGAGCTGAGGACGTTGGTGGTGGCGGTGGATCACCTGGCGAGAAAAGCCCCAGCAAGGGCAGCAGATGTTCTCAGCCAGAGAATAAAGGCGTTGGAGAGGGCGACAACAGAGGGACACTGGAACACAGCCCAGTTTTTGGAGTTGATACCCTCAGAGATGTCGACCCTGCTGGAGCGAGACGAGCAGGCCTACGTGGCGAAGGAATACCTTCAAGAGATGAAGGTTCGGAACTACGAGAAGCCCCGGCTCGTGACAGGCGGAGGAGGGAAGAAGGGCGACAAAGGTCAAGGAAAAGGTCGGGGAGATCAAGGAGGAGGAAAAGGCAAGAACAAGAAGAAGGCCGACGAGGCCTAGGTGAGCCCGCAGAGAGGCCTGCCTCAGATGCACAGGGGGGGGTGAGCAGGCAGAAGTTTGCTCGGGCCCTGAGGCGGGCCTGCGCTGCACCCCAAAAGGCCTCTTGCGTGCTGGCAGAGGCGTGGAGAGCGCTGGACCAGCTTGATTCACCTCTGGGGGCCTATGCAAGGTCATGCAAAGGATCCGGAGTGCCTCCCAGCGAAACCGCTCAACCCCCTAGGGGAGATGAGTTGCTCCCTCTGTCCCCCGAGGTGATGAGCAGGTTCACGGCGCTAGAGCCTGACAAGCGAGATTCCATGAAATTGATCTTGGCGGTCTTGAGCCTCCTGGCAATGGGGGGCCGTTATGACCCAAAGAGAAGCCTACCACCACCTCCCTCACTGTCCAAGGGGCAAGAGATCATGCTGGATCATCTCATGGAGAGGTTGGATGACTTGAGCCAGGTAGGTACTCTGTGCCCGCCGGTTGAGGAGGCGACCAAGACATTGGGCAGCGCCCGTTTTGACTACTGTGGTGAACCAGTGATGGTCATGGAAGAGCTGGTGGCAGAGAAGGTCATCCCGGTGTGGCCTAAGATCGGTGAGGCTGCAGTCCAGCCGGTTATGAGTTACCTGCCATCAGGCATGGCTGAGATGCTGGAGGACCCAAGAAATTGCCTGCGCCCAGAGTGGGAGTGGCCGGAGACACCCCATCGCAGTCGGGTGATGGCCAGCCAGGATGAGTGGGACAAGATAGTTGAAGCAGGGTTCGCCAGAGGATTGATGAAACCACTGGAGGAGGATGAAGTTTTCAGAGACAGGAAGGGGCAGAAGGTGCTCAACGGGGCTGGCGGGGTCAGAAAGTTGAAGAAAATTGGAGGAGAGGAGCGCCAGATGCAGCGCTTCATATCAAATCTGATCCCGGCAAATGAGTACCATACCCTGTTGAGTGGAGGGGACCGTTACCTGCCCTACCTTGGGCAGTTGACTTTGTTGGAGCAGACAGAAGAAGAGACTTACCTGGTGGACTCAGAGGATTTCTGCTCTTGCTTCAACCTGTTCACGCTGCCGGACAGCTGGCTGTGGTCCCGATGGGGTGGCTGAATGCCGTCTCTGTGGTTCAGTCGGTTGTTCGGTCACTGGTGTTCCAGGAGGCCCAGGTGCCGGAGTCATCGGAGGTGGCCAACCTGAAGTCAATGCCCGAGACTGATGACTACACGGTGATATACCTGGATTCGTATGACGAGTTGCGGAGGCTTAGCCATCAATGTGCTGCCGCGCTCGAAGGAGAGGCGTCTGAGCGACACCAGCGCTTCAGGCGAGTGTGTGAAGAAAAAGGGCTCGCCCTGAACGACGCCAAGCGCCTGGTGGGGGCGACTCAAGGAACGCTTCAAGGAGGCGAGTTGGACGGCAAGAAAGGCTGGTACAAGCTGGCAGGGGACAAGCAGGTGAGCCTGGTGAGCTTGTGCCTTGCCTTGGCAGTGAAAGACCAGTGGTCAGAGTTTGAGCTGAGGCACCTCATAGGGAAGGCGACCTTTGGGATGTGTTTCCGAAGACCACTGCTCAGCATCTTCCAAGAGGTCTTCAACGAACTGAGGAGAATTCTGAAGAAGGGACCCTCCGAGCCAGCAGCGGGCTCTGTGGATGAGGTGCTGATGGTCATGGCAATGACCGCCTTCATGGGGTCCAGCCTCAAGGTCACCCTGGATCCCCAGGTGTCGTGCTCAGATGCCTCCTTGGATGGCGGAGGAGCGGCGGTAGCAGAAGAATTCATGAGAGAACCGCTGACTGTGGAGCATGAAGGTGGCGAGTGCTGGTGGTGCGGAGGCTCCTTTCGCCAAGAGCAGCGTTACCCATGCCCAGCGGCATGTGGAGTGGCACTGTGCTCCCTGGAGTGCATGTGGAGTCACCGGAATAAGGAGCAGCACGAGCACAAGAGCTGCGTCAGGAAGCACTGGAGGGTGCCGCGTTTCGGCGAGCGTTTTTCTGGACCGCACGCGCCCCTCACGCATGCCGTGGCTCAAATGGGCCACATTGAGGTACAGAGGCCGTTCGATCTGGCCCGAGGAGATGACTTCTTCACTGACCAGGGTAGAGAGACCCTGAGAAAGGACATGGAGGACGAGGACCTCTACGCAGAGCACTGGGCGCCTGAGTGTCGCCTTTTCAGCAGAGCAAGGGGCCGTCCCATAAGGCTGCGTTCCGGAAGGACCATCAGTGGACCTCAGCCTGTGCGAGACGCACATCATCTCATGGGTTTCCCATGGCTAACCAGAGAGATGAAGGCCAGGCTGCGTAAGTCAAACACTATGGCACTGAAGGGCCTGAGGCGAGGAGTCCAGGTAGCTCAAACGCGCGTGCCGCGCCATTGGTCGCTCGAACACCCCAAGAATAGCTGGCTGTGGGAGTTCTCTCTCGCCCGGGAGGCGGAAAGCGTTGGATTTGAGAGGGCCATTGGCTCCCACTGTTGTTTCGGCGGACGACGCGTCAAATGGTACGCGTTTGCAGCCAGCGCTGAGGAGATCCGCAGTCGTCTCAACCGAGACTGCCCGGGCCATGAAGGCCTTCTGGGGTATGAAGTGGAGGAGCTCCCCGATGGACGGCTGCACTATGCAACTGAAGAAGAAGCAGAGTACCCCTGGAGCCTCTGCCTGGCTTACGCCCGAGGCCTTCGAGCGCAGGCAGACAAAGAGAAGGTCTTTGAGAAAGTGCGCCTGCAGGCACGTGAGCTTTGGTACCAGCAGCAGCTCGAGGCCAGCACCGCCCGCCTCGCAGGAAGTGGCATTGCACGGCCCATGGCCACCTATCTGGCCCGTTGGGAGGCCAAAATGCAGCGAGGCGAAGAAGGTCTTCACCTGAGGGAGCTCCTCAGAGCAGCTTCCATGCGAGGGACTGACGTCCGATTTCACATGCAGATCGGAGGAGAAGAGCCGCAGCATGAGATTCCTTACCCAGCACTGCGCTGGAGATGGCGCACCTTCGCCTCCTATGCATGGAAGCAGGGAGCTCACATCAACGAGCTCGAGATGAATGCAGTGATCGTGGTCACCAAGCACAGGACCCGATCCACCTCAAAGTTTCACACCCGTTGGGTGCACATCATTGACAGCATGGTTTGCAGAGGAGCGTTGGCAAAAGGTCGTTCGTCCAGTCCAAGGATCAACATGCCCCTGAGAAAGCAGGCTGCACTCTCCATCGCCCAGAACTCCTACATGTTCCCCCTCTGGACCATCAGTGGGTGGAACTTTAGTGACAAGGCTTCCAGGAAACATGACAAAAAGTAGGAAGTCCCATCTCAAGTATGTGGGATTGCAGCCTCGCACACTATGGGCATACCACCAGGCACTGGACTCCTTTTTGCAATTTTTGCAGCGCCGACGCTTAGATACCATGCGACCGTCTCACCTGGATCGCCGTTTGGCCGAATTCATCAACATTGCTTATCAAGAAGGAGAGCCCCTGGCTTACTCAGGGCACCTCCTATCCGCAATCAAGCGGTTTCACCCGGAGCTGCGCCTTAAGCTTCCGGTGTCTTCCCAGTACTATCGGAACTGGTCCAAGGCCCATGTTCCGGTCAGGGCCCTGCCAGCCAGCTGGGAGCTGGTTGAGGCAATGGTGGGCGTCGCTCTTCATGACCGTCAACCGCGACTGGGCCTGCTTTTAGCTCTTAGCTTTCACGCAATGCTTCGCACATCTGAGATGATGGCTCTGACTAAGGACCACATCATGTTCCATGACCAGCACCAATCCCTGAGTGTCGTCATTCCCAGCTCCAAGACGTCACAGGGTAACCCACAGGTGTTACAAGTCACCGATGCCATGCTCCTAAGCATGGCTCGTGCTTCCATCAGCACCCTTTCTAAAGGGCGGCTGCTGTGGTCACAAGGACCTCACGCCTTTCGGCGTCGCTTTCAGCAGCTCCTGCAGCGGCTGGGCTTTGCACCTTCTTCTTATCACCCGTACTCGCTACGTCGAGGCGGAGCTACTTGGTGGTACAATACCACCCTATCTTTAGATAGTACAGTGGTGCGAGGCCGTTGGGCTAACCAGAAGACCTGCCGTATCTATGTGGATACCGGCACGATGCAGCTGGCGCATCTCACTTGGACGCCCAAGCAAGTCCAAAGAATTCGCAAGTGGCGCCTCAAGGGCGCGAAATTACGGCTTCGCCAGAGTCAAAAAGGCCTTGGCATGACTGAGGTGATAAACACGGGGTAGTTTTTAATTTTTCACTAGGTAGGGGGTTGTTTTGTAGGAACTTTTAACCCCCTTTATCCCCCCGTCTTATTGAACCTTTTGTTGGCCTTAGTAGGTGGTGTGACTGAGACCTTCTTTAGGGTCATCTCTTGCCTTCTTTAAGGTGGTAATTAATTCCCTTCCCGTTTACCGACCGAAATTTGGTTGAGTTGGCTGATTGGAGCTAGCCTGTCGGGGTTGTTGATCAAGGGCTATTTTCCATTTCGAACTGGGACAGTCTAAGCACTGGACTCAGTCACTAGCAACCACGAGGCACTCCGTGCAGAAAATGTGCTAGTGGATGTAAATATATTATATCTAGTGGTGTCGAACGACACTCGTAGAGTAATAAAGAGGGGAAGTGAGCAACGTAATATATATTTCACCTGTTGCAGCCTTTTACCTTCCCTCCCTCTACCGCCCTTTCACCGCCTGTTCTGGCTGGGTTCTTCTTTCTGGGCACGGCTTCTTAGCTTTGACCCCCTCCTTCATGAAGGAGCTGACTGAGACCTTCTTTAGGGTCATCTCTTGCCTTCTTTAAGGTGGTAATTAATTCCCTTCCCGTTTACCGACCGAAATTTGGTTGAGTTGGCTGATTGGAGCTAGCCTGTCGGGGTTGTTGATCAAAGGCTATTTTCCATTTCGAACTGGGACAGTCTAAGCACTGGACTCAGTCACTAGCAACCACGAGGCACTCCGTGCAGAAAATGTGCTAGTGGATGTAAATATATATATATACACATTCTTTTTACATTCTTTTTGCTGGGAAATCTTTAGCAACTTTGTACTGGTTGCTCCAGACATAAGCGACACGCCTGAAAAAATCGGAGTCTCGTCATCTCTGGTGAAGGAGACGCCGCAGCAGGTCTGGAGGCGCGGAAGAGTCCATTTTGATCGTTTTGATCGTTGGATCATTGTGAGGATTGGATGATTTTTGGATCATTTTCCCATCTTCCCAATATCTTCCCCATTTGTTGGGGACCATTTCTATCCGATCTATCCATTTCCAATGCTGTTGAAAAACGCCTGGACGAAAGCCACTTTCAGGAAAAGAACACAACCTGGCAGAGTGGGGCACATCCGGAGTGATCGTGGATCTTAAGGCGCAGAGCTAGCTGGATCCATGGCGAGGAAGTAACCCTCTGGTTATGACTACTGGTTATTTAACATAGCCATGGTATAGATGGCCCATTTATATATAGATGGTTTACCTATTAATAGCATGGTGATTTTCCATGGCTATGCTAAATAACCAGAGGGTAATTCTTGGTGATTTGGGATTTATGAGACATGGAGATTTCACCATCAGAATCTCGCGGCACAAAAACTTGAAGCTGTGACAGGGATCTGGCTTTGGCTTCATTCGACCAGACACTGGCAAGGTCAATGATAAGGACAAGACGATTCTACAGTGCTGGATAAAGCATGGAGAAAATTGAGCATAAATAAGTGAAAGCGGTATCAGTGATGATGTCGTGACTACTAGTGAGTGAAGACTGCCTGAGCGTGACTTGCATAGCTTTTTCAAACTGTTGGGTGATTAGAAAGTAGCTCCAAAAAAAGGGTCATAAAACTCACTATAATGGGCATGCAGTGGGGATATAGAGGGATATACAAGCAACGACATGAAATTTTGGATTCGTTCCAATCAATGTGGTATGCAGACTGCAATCGCAGGCAATTTCAAGTGTGCATACACTCGGCTGTGGGAGGATCTCTACTTCCACTGCACAGCTGTGAACAAGAATTGTCCCTTTGACGAACTCAGGGTCAACGACGAGGTCAGCTACGAGGTGCGAATGTGGAATAAAGTCCAAACAAACTGTTGGCGCTTATTCGATTTATATTTAATTTCATTTGATCAAGGAGCTTTCTCTGTTTCCACCTTTCCCTGACCTTTGTGAATTCCAACTGAACTCAATAGCCTGACGCTTCGACTACATGTTCCAGTGTTCATTCCATATGCAGGCAATTATCGATGAGAGAAAGAACCATCCTACGGCGTCTCTTGTTTGCGAATGGCTGAAGATCATGACTCTACATTGTTTGCCTTTTTGAATATGTCTTGCTGAAGGACATCATCTTTCAACCATGTAGACTTGGCCCAGGAGAAATGTTACACTGAAGAATGGTGGAAGCAGTAAAAAGAGAGAGGCATCACGCTCTGACTCCCGCCGCCGTTAATTCCTTTAAGTATGAAGAAACAGCGGGGAGGCTGCTGGAAGCGGTGCGTTGCTAATGCCTCAGAGCATTAGCCTGGGTCTTTACAGGTTTTGTGCTGGATACCTGAACCAATTACTTAGATACTTGTTAATCTTGTTATGTGGAAAGCTGTTGTTATGCCGTTGGGAGTTAAGTACGTTGAATCTGAGTCTTGACTCCTGAAACTTGCAGAAGTTAAAGGGAATTGTGGAGGATGAAGTGCGTTTTTTAAAATAACCTTCAAACCAATGTTTCCAGAATGAGTGCTCTTTATTGTTGTTTAGACAATCCATTTTGTAGCACTTGCGAGTGCAAGCTCTACACTGAAGCCAGCCCCGGGTTTCACAATTTATAGCTTGCTCACTTGCGCTTCTTGCTAGCCAACAGTGAAAGTCGTTGAGGCAAAACAATGCCCACATGACAGCTTTGCAGTACCAGGACCATTCCAAAGCAATACACGAGCAGCACACAAGCAGCACACGAGCAGACCGGCCAAGCGACTCTGAACTCGGGCGACTCGCCCTGACGTATGCGAAACCCGTCATGGAAAATGGCTGTGATCATGGTAGTCATTTGAGGTGGAAACATCACTTGTTCCTGATGCTATTCACTTTCATGCGCTCAAAGCTTCATGCAATTCCTATGCTATGCAGTGATGAAGAAGTAGCCCAACTGACACTTGACACGTATTCATCAGTTTGCCTTGAGACGGTAGCGAATGCACCATCCCAACTGAGCCAATGTAGATGCACGGCTTCCCCACTGTGGCTGCAGCTTTAGCAGAATTAGAGGAAAGAGCAGCCGCCACAATGCATGTGATGCCGCATGGAGGTGGCTGACATTTTTTTTGGGAGGGCTACTTATTTACCTAAAGAAACCCAAAATGAAACCCTAAATGAAACTCTAAAGAAGCCCTAAAGGAACCCACTTGAAGGTTTAGAAATCGTGAAAAGAAATCCGGATAAGAAACCCTGGCATGAAACCCTGAATGAAACCTTAAGTTGAAACCCTAATGAAACCATAAATGAAACTCTAAAGAAGCCCTGAAGGAACCCACTCGAACGTTTAGAAATCGTGAAAAGAAATCCTGATAAATGAAACCCTGAAGAAACCCTAAATGAAACCCTAGCTGAAACCCTACAAAAACCCTATATAAATGAAACCCTAAATGAAACCACAAACGAAACCCTAAAGAAACCCTAAAGAGATCCTCAATGAAACCCTAAAGAAGCCCTAAAGAAACCCATTTGAACATTTAGAAAGCAGATAAGAAATCCCGATAAGAAACCCTACATGAAACTGTAAAGAAACCCTAAATGAAACTCTAAAGAAACCCTAAACCTAAAGAAACCCTAAATGAAACCTTAAATGAAACCGTAAATGAAACCCTAAAGAAACCCCACATGAAACCCACAATGAATCCCAAATAAAACCCTGTTGAAACCCTAAATGAAACCCTAAATCAAGCCCTAAATAAAACCCTAAAGGAAACCCTAATGAAAGCTTAAATGAAGCCCTAAATGAAAGCCTAAAGAAACCTCAAGAAACCCACATGAACGTTTGAAGTACCAAAATGTAGCAAATACCATTGTTGCAAATACAAGGCAAATCGTCCAGGAAAAATCGCCAAAAACAAATCCAAAACCTGAGGCAAAAAAAACAAACAACTATTCTACACTTTTTTTTGGTCTTACAGCACTTCCTTTTCGTGCCTCTTTTCAAGACTACAGGTTTTCCTTTTGAACTGCTCTCCAATCTAGTGGATAGCCTTGTTCGACCCAAGCTCCTTCCAGGTGTACTCCTGGGGAAGTGGAAACTATGGCCGGTTAGGTCTCGGCAGTAGTGCAGCCGCTGGCTGAGCATCTGAATCAAAGCAGCTTCGCGGTGATTGATTTGTCAAGTTAAACAAAAACACACGCAAATTCCTGGCACTGGATGACTATAATTATATATTGGTTTTCTGCTCAGGACTCGGTCAAGCCACAGCTTGTGAGTGGTGTCCTGAATGGCCAGACACTGAGCCTGTTGCAAGGGGCTGTTGTCGTTGTAGCTCAGGTTCATTTGTTGCACTCCCGGATCAAACATGTGTGTGCGGGTGTGAACTTGGGGTATACATGGGTATACTGTATGCCCTCCAAAAGGCCATTTAATTTAATGTTGAAAATGCCTGAGAACTTCAATTTTGCCTGAGAACTTCAATTTGCATTTCTTGGTTCTCCAAGGCTACGAAATTGCAGCAACTGCTTGCAGCTGGTGCCCACCGGATTCCATCGCAATTTCTTGAACATTGGTCAGTGGCAACTTCATACGATTAAGAGCCACCACACGCAGATGGATATCAAAACGGAATGCCTTTATTGTATTTCATTGTCAGAGGGTTTAGGCTCCATTCCTTGATGTGTCTCGACAATCATCAAGAACTAGCCACAATTTTTTCCTCGGCCCTTTGAGATTCACTCGCGGCGGTCTCGCAAGACGACCTCAGCTCATCGGCTGATAGTCTGGACGCATGCATCTAGTGTGATCCACACAACTAGACGCACGCACTAATTCTTCTGCAAACGAGTCAAGATCACCACCATCGCCCACAAATTGGCGGGACTCAATACGTCTCCAGAATGCCACTGCTAGGCACATGCAGAAATTTGGAGGGTATTCTTTCGCTTTGGATGTTCTGAATCGACCGTGCTCGTCGTGGCCGATGAGAGATTCAATACGGTCACGATGCATCGGCTGGGCAAACTCAGTGAGCACGTCGCTGATATTGCAATTCGCGTAGAGAAGCGATGTGGGTTTGGAACCACACGCTCCGTGATGTCCTTGCCTGAAAGTGTGTCTGCGAAATAACCATCCATCACGCAGGAGGAGGTTGACCACTCCTGTTCTCCAAATGGCTGCACGATCAGGTTGTAGAGGTGGGGCAGGATGTTCGAGAATCACGGCACCACCACATAAGGCCACTGTCACACACAACCAAATGCCGCGAAGCAACAGGCAGTTGCCTATGGCGACTTGTTTCAACTCGGCAAGGGACAACTTGGGCAACCCCCACGGGCAGTCCGCACTGCGAAGTGGACGCGGTCCCCTGATCGGCTGTCCAGCAACATCAAGAAGCTCAGCATGCCGGGCACTAGACCAGGTTTCACACGGGGGGCCCAATAACAAGCCTAAAATCCGACCTTGTTGGGCAGCGGACAAGAGAAATCCCCATAGTTTTGGGTCATGAACATTCATGCGATCACTGATGGCTGTGTCGATGGAAATGACATAGACCTCATTGCTCCATGGTCAGCTACTCTGGGAAATAAGCCTGGTGACTTGCTCATGAAAGTCATCTTGTCGCCTTCTGCCAGCATAAAGGTGCACAATGAAGAAAGGCCCATGCGCCTTGGGGCGGGCACGCTGAGGTCGCTCAGTCATGCGCCATGCACGCCAGTGGTTCTCCTTGTTCACCAAACCATTGTATGTGGACACAACTGGATGAGTGCGAGCAGCACGGGGAGCCCGGTCTCGATCAGGCAAGCTCCGCTGCGTTTTTTCCTCCCCTTGCTCAAGCACTTCCCATCTCGCACGCAAGCGCTTCATGGTGTTGCGAACGTTCCAGATGTGAATGTCGGTCAGAAAATTCATGTGTGCTTCTTCCAAATGTTGAAAAGCGTCAAGGTGGGCGTACTTCTCAATATAGGAATAGAAGTCACTTTCGATCCAGTGAATGAAAATTCTGGCTGTCTGAAACTCAGGGATGTGCAAGTTGAAGAACAGTTGGAAAAACCGATTATGGAACTCCGCAACGTTGGGCTCGTCTGATTCGATCCATTGGTCCAAACACTCTTCAAATAGTCGGCAGCAGGAAGAGGTTAGAGGCTCGTCAGTCAAAGGGTCCCACCATGCAAAATCGCTACGGCCCTCAATCTCCAACTCCTCAATCTGACGGCGTACACGTAGCCGTTCACGATGGTGAGCCGTTGGCCGTAGAGGTCCATGATGTACACGAATTGCTGGCAGTCGATGGATGCCTGCTAAATGAGGGGGCAGCCGAACCTGGCCAGGCTCAGCTGGCTCCTTGGCTCCATGGACTCGTTCCCAGCACTTGTTCCCTCTATAGCGAAGATGCTGCATCACTCGGAAGGTGGTGTGGAAAGTCTTCAAACAACCCGGGCAAATCTCAGATTGCACATACATGCTTTCTTGAGCTCTGATCCCATGCTGTCTAAACGCATGAACACCAAGCTGCTGACACGTAGTGAAAACTGCGGTGCAATGCGGACATGGAAAAAACCCACTAGACTGAACCTCATCTTGATCCATGTCTAATAACTTCATACCAAAATGCGTCATCTCGTCGATGATGCTGGTGTGGTAGAAATGCACGTTATATGCCAAGTTCTCCTGCGCAGTGTGTTTACATACAGCACGATGGATCCAGGCTTTCCATTGTGGTATGTTGCGCAATTGTGTCCAAACATTAACCCAGGATTCACGATCATGTGGGATGTCAAAGGGCAAACCACGCATTGTTGCAAGCCACTGAAGGTCTTGTTCAACTTCATAGAGCCATCCTTTGTGGTTGGCCCTTTCGCTAAGAAGCATTGATTTGTGCGCTGTGATGGCATGCTGTGCAAGATGTCGGAGGAATCCAAGTCGGTGTCGTGCCAGAAAGATTCGAAAGGGTGCAAGTTCATGGTCCCTCAAGAAATCTGCATCATTGACTCGCTCTGAAGACCAGAATCCAACTCCACAAATGCGTCTGTAACAGTCAGTGGTCAGCGCTTCGAGCTTCCTGAACGAAGTGCTAGAAATCTCTGACCAAATTGCACATCCGTACAACAGTCGGGAGAGCACTAAACTGTTAAATAATTGAAGTCTGGCTTTCACTGGGAGGGCTTTGTTCATAAAGATGGACTGGCGCATTTGCTCAAAAGCTTGGCGCGCGGCACCCATTCTGGCAGAAATTTCGCTATCCAAATCCATGTTCATGGAAAAACGAACCCCTAAGTGGCGGTACGATGAGACAACACGCACAGTCAGCAGGTGTGTGTCAGTAGCCACAGTGATGGCCGGCGTTGATTTCTGCAGGAATAAATCTTTGC